TCAGTGAATGGCAGATTATGAAGACTAATCCGTACGGGCTATCTGTTTAGAGGCAAATTCTACTCTTAGCGGCTTTAAGCGGAAGTTGCCACTGAAATACAAATGAAGTACGTGTCTATCAAGAGCTTATGCCGTACGATGTTGCACTCCGAGACCACATATGCTCTGAAGGTATTCAAGGCCAAATAAAAAGATGCAATGGTTCTTAATCTCTTTTGACATGGACACTCTTGTAGATCCAAAAGGTCCCTTTTTGATCCTTGAATTTTCCAGTGGAAAGTGGTATATCTACACAATTTAAGGCTGTGGTGCACATGGATATAAAATGATCCCATTAAGAGAAAATAATCATTTCTTCATTTTAATCTCTGTGTATAGGCTTGTATACATGTAAAAGCTGCAGCTGTGATGTTCAGAGGAACAAAAGAACATTAGGAATTTCTCTGAACCCACTTTTGCTTAGATTCTTTCTTCAGTGACCATTCATGATGCTCACATCCATGTGATTCTCAGGCTTAGGCAAAGCTGTAAGGAAACGTGTCGTCTTATTATCTCCAATCAAATCCGAACAGATCAGTTCTCGTCCAGCAGTCAGAGAAATCCATTCTGGCTTCTGTCCCAGATACCTTATGTAAGATTTCTATATAGAATATGCCATGGCGTTGTTATATGACTGACACAATACTGTAGTCTGATGACATGTCAGTGATCAAGATTATAGAGCCTTAAAGCAAAGTTTTGAATGTATATTAATATTGTGAGTCCACAGCACCATCCTCTTATAATCCTCCTATGATATTAATCATTATTATAGTGCAGATTTCATCGAGCTGAATACAGAAAGTGTGCATCACAACCAAAGAAAACAAGACAGGAGCACAGAAACTTTGAATAAAATAAAATAAAACTTACAAATAATCCTGCAAAGATGAAAAAAGCAGTAAATGAATGATTGCATTGTAAGGGAATATATGTCCTTGTTAGGAAAACGTAATTTACGTAACTTCTGAAGAGTGATGACTATGGTGTTGTGTTACACAGTTTCACCCAAACGTTCTTTTAACAAAGCTTTCTGAACCCTTAATATAAAGATGGACACGCTGCTTTCAGACGTGCACTGAACTCCGGAGATGCTCCAGGGCTTCCAGATGATATTTCTCACAAGCGACAGATGCGAAAGTTAAATAAACAAATCAAACATCTTTGAATGAAAGAGGAGAATCATACACGAAGATATCAGGAGAGTTTGTGGCGATAAGAGCCAACGCCTGTGACGATGCGCTGTAAACAATCTATGACCTATGCAGAGGAATTAATCCGTTACATCCGGCCTCTGCCTGCTGCTCCACCCTTCACCTGAATTCTGCTGAGACTTGTTGTTGTAAACACGTCTGAGTAGAAAATCTCCTGCTGCATTGTTCAAGTGTAAAAGTGAAACTGCTGATACCCAATTCTCTCCGGTTCCTTTTGAGGTCATGTCTGAATGCGGCATATAACAAAAAGTATCGCCAAAGCATCTTGAGCAGCCCCTCGTGGCTGGCTGCAGTATAGGTCATAAACCCCACATCCTCCGTGTTAGTGGATGGGACACTGACCAAACTAAAAAGTAATAAATGGTTTCTGTCATTTTACGCAGCTCTTATCACATTGATGTTTACTCAAGTGCTCGGTTTTTCAGTAAGTTTAATTTTAATTTGATGCTTTAAAATGATATGATACCATAGCTCCATCCCAAATGTTACTGCCCAGACTTCAAATGTCAAGATAACTGCATTTGTATCCAAGATATTTTGGCTTCATGTCTGGAGGAAGTGGAGATGTATCTTCCATCTTTATATACTCTGCACACTACAGTCTACGGTCTGAAAGCATCAACTTTGAAGTTATCATGGCCCTCTGGGAGGCAGTTGCTTATTTACACATCCAACAGATATACAGCATCATTAATATTTTATGTGAAGTCATGTTTCTGGACAGCTGATGAATGTAAAACTCCAATAATCGCTCTCCTTTTATGTCCAAAGGGAAATATTGAGGCTCTTTTGATTTCTCATTCATTTAAAATAAATACAATATGGTAAAAAAAAAAACGATCTGGTTAAGTATTAGATTTGAAATGATGCATCACCTCAACAGAAAATGCATCACTCTGCAAAATGATAACAAACATAAAATAATCAGTAGCTGCAGTCCTGCCTGGTGCAGCTCTTCTCACCATAACTGTGTCCGTCTGGTGTTTGGCTCAAAGCAGAAAGCATACAATAGGCTCTTAAGAGTGTGGAGCCAACATTAGTCATCCACTTCACAGCAGTGATAGTGAAAGAAAACAGTGAAGTTACCAACAGGAAAATGCCTGAAAGAGCTGAGAATCACTGTTGTCATCATTAAGAGCAACCTCTTTCACATCATTAGATCCATCCAACAGTTCACTCTCACATTCACAGCTACTGTCAATTTAGAAAATCCAATCAACATCACCCCAATCTGTTTTTGGCAGCAGTGCTAATCACAGCACCACTGTGCGGTGGTTAACGATCTATTATTAAATCCAGTGTTTTTATATTAATTATTGCAGCTTCAAGTTAACAGTTGGCCAGTAATGAGATTAGCATAGAGGTCATTTGTGCAGTCAGTGTTAAAAAACATTTTTAAGTATCCTGCAGACTGTACGTCAAGTCAATTTCTCAGGTTGGCCTGTAAACGATGTCATAGTGGAGAGGGGTGTGAATGAAACAGATGTGTTTTGTTCTCAGAGAGATGCCCTGATCTTTGTAATGTTCTGTAAGTGGTGATCCTAAAGTCAAAAATAAACCTCACTATCAGAAACCATGAACATCCACTCCCAGCACTGCAGCACAGGACTTAAAATGTGTTAAATTGAGAGCAGGGATTAACTTCTTGTCATTGGTACAGACTCAGGAGACAGCCTATCACCGTCCACATGGACGTCATAAGCAGTGTTTACCCGACTGTAGCCAAGTATTCTGACTTCCAACATGCTGCTGATATTCCATAAGACTCTTGTTAGCTGTTGGCAAGAACCAGTGGGTGATCTGAGGTCATAACGCACTTAGTGAGGCTTGTAGTAGATGAGTGGGAGGGTTTTCTCACTTGAGTGTTGAGTTACTCCGAAGTGTTTCAGTGGATCGTCTCCTGGAACGTTCTCAACCATTTTCATTATTTTACAGCAGATGGGCCTGAATCATGTAGAACATAATATTTTAAGTGGGAGATTTATGTTCACCAGCTCACCTACCTCTGACTGATCACCTTTATGTACAACACCATGCCAAGGTGCTAATTGCCTACAGTATCACCAGCAGCTTGGCACTTGTGGTTGAGAGCCTTGGCCTGATTTGTCCGTTTTCAGAGTCATGTTTTGAAGTGCGGCTAAGCCCCCGGAGCTGAAGATGAAGGCAATCTGCTGAGGTAACAGAGATGTCAGGCCTATCTGGCCTCATTTACTCGTGGGTTGTAAACACGGTTTGCCAAGAGGCTCATATGATTTATATTTTTAGCTCCTTTTCTCACGGAGAATTGCAGCACTCATGGGAAATGTCTTTGAAATGCCAACATTTGCGATGTTGGTGCTCAGCACAGTTCAGAACGGAAGAGAGATTTTCAGTGCTGCGGAGTCATCTCTACGCGTCTCAGTGCGCAGAGCTCAACAGGCCACCATCGGTCTGGTCAGGAGCAGCAGAAGTCTCATCATCCTCTCTGTGACCTCCCTCTGAGCAAGTTAATGCAGGTCAGCTTCTCTGAAAACAGATGAGTCTCAGAAATGAAGGCGAGCGCTCACAGGAAAAACAGCTGAATTTAACAAGAACAAGAATTAAAAACTTTAAGACGGACCAATAAATACATAGTTGTTCAGATCATTTTTACATATTCTGCATCATCCATACAGAAATTGTATGTGTCACTTATCACATACAAAGTCAGTAGATGAGTTTTTGTCTCTAACTTTAGATTACTCCCTGTATTATTCAAGTTTACTGGATATTTAATAATTGTTTGATGCATCACTGATAAATTGGAATTTCTAAACAATCAAACACAACAGTGGAAACATGGTGACACCACTAAATACAATGTATAACACAAACTGCAATACTAATGTGTTAACTTTGAAAAGGGCTCACCTCGATGATGTGATCATGGTCATCATGACACCGAGCTTCAGACTGAATTTGTTTTACAGATAGTCCACAGCGCAGAAGATAAATGCTCATTACAACGTCATACAGAAGCATCTAAACTGCTAATATAAAGAAGAAGTAGAAGAAGAAGAAGAAGAAGACATCAGTGCATTCACCCAGGTGTCATGTTTCCATCACTGCTGGTCAGAATTATGTTGTTTAAAAACCTGAATGCAGATATACATTCCCATTGCAGATATGAAGCCAGATGTTAGCAGGTGAGAGAGGTTTTTTTTTTTTAACCAGTGGAACAGTGTGGGTTTCAATAGAGCAGTACTGGTGCAGGGGCTGTATAATTTATGGGACATTTAGGATCCAGCTATTATTTCATTTCTACTACGACTTTAAATCTGGTTTAGTTAAGTTTTCTTTACTTCCCTTCACCTTACTTTAGTTTAAAACATAGTTACAAGATAAAATAGATTACAATTGTAGAAAATAAAAATCATAAAACAGATCATCAGCAATGAAAGTAGTAGAAAACACATAACAGAAATGTTCAGAAACATAAATTAACATAGATTAATATTTCATTTCCCATCCTGGAGTAGGAAGAACCCTATTTCTGTACTTCATCATCACAGAAAATGCAGAAAAGACTTCTTCAAAAACATGTAAAACCTTTTTTTTCTGTTTTCTTGTGTTCTGCAGCGATGCATTGAAATCAGAAGATATATTTTCGTGTCTTTTTATAGAAGTAGTAAGTTTTCCACACACGCTGGCTCATAATCGCTGATAAATTGTTTGTAAGGGATGGAGGGAGGGAGGCATCCTAATGAGCAGAGAGAGAGAGAGAGAGAGAGCTCCATAAGAAGATCCAGCCCTGATACAAGCTGTGAGTGTCAAATCCTTTCCCCGTGACGTCCCATAGGCTGCAGGACGCTTATGGGACAGCCTGTGTGTGCTGATGATGGAGATGTGAAGCTTTGGCTCAGAGCGGATCTCACTGTGCGTCCAGCGCCTCCTTGGACACATTTGGACACTGCGCGGTGCCAAATGGGACCCTCACCTCACCCTCTGCGTTTGGGAGCGACCCGGGGCTCGTGCGTCTTCTCCACCTCGCGCCCATGAACTTTTCGGTCGTGCGCGCGCCGCTGCACCCTCCTCCTCGCGGACCATGAAGACGAGTCGCCGGTGCAGGACCCTGCTGTCGGTCAGCCTCAACTTCTTCGCCCTCTTCTTCTCCATCACCGCCTTCATCACCACCTACTGGTGTGTGGGCACGCAGAGGGTCCCCAAGCCCAAGTGCAGCAAGCTGCGCACGCACCAGTGCATCGACTACGGCGTGAACGAGACGGACCCTAACAAAGTGGTGTACAGCTGGGAGACCGGGGACGACCGCTTCCTCTTCCGCCAGTTCCACACCGGCATCTGGTTCTCCTGCGAGGAGAACATCCACGATGAGAGTAAGTGAGTGAGTGTGTGTGTGTTTCTTTCATGCGAGACACAACTTTATGAACTTTTACATCCATTAAAAGTCTGTTTAGATCATTTTAGATCAGGTTTGAAAAGTAATGATAATAATGATAATTGCATTTATAGAAGAGGAAGTCTTAAACATTTGCATTTTATCATCAAAATATCTCAATCAGTAATTGTGTGGGACTTTTACTTTAACATCTAGAATTCCTCTGCAGGCATATGACTTTTCTTTTACCTAATTTGGCTCATTCTGCATTTGTTTCTAAATAGATCATCATATCAATAACGCTTTACTTAAACATCCTGCATTCACAATTTAACACACACACACTGTTCTATCATGACATTTCCTCCCTCATTTGTCATAATGGAACACTTAGTTCAAGTAGAGATTAGTCGCTCTTTTTGAAATATTCCCTTTCATGACAATTTCAGGATAATCGTGCTCTATTAATGTCAGTCTGCTTCTATCCGTTTAAGTTGCTTTATGTGGTTTTATCTGACATGAAATGCTGAGCAGACGGCAGCTTCAGTGCATCACTCACTCTCCACATATAACATCGTCTCCAAACCTTTAGGGTAAGTTGGTGGCCGTGCAACATGGGGCTGAATGTGATTGCTTCCCAGCTTAAGCAAATGGGAGGAGAAAACAGTGAATGACGTTTGCACGAGCATCACTCGGGGAAAATGAAATAAGTGGAGTGAAGTTTGAATTAGAGTGAGTGAAATGCGGGAGGTGAGCTGGTAAGAGCATGGTTCAGGTCAGAGGTGTGATCAGGTCAGAGTCGTCCTCTCTGGCTGCTTCGCTGCTACTGACTCCAGCACAAACTCTGCTAATAACACACACATTTCTTGCAATGCTCGAGAATAGAAATGAAGCACAGGCTGAGATTAGTGGAGTGGGGAATTGCTAGCACATGTTTATCTCATCAAGTGGCTGTACGATTGAGGGGGGGGGGCATTGCGGGGTCGGACGTGGTGGGGGCCGAGACAGCTTGAGTTAATAAGGATTATGTAACATCGAGCTTGATGAGTTTTTCCTCAAAACAGCTGTTGCCACCCTCCTTCTACCTGATTAAAGTTTTCCATTTACAGCAAATCCAGCGACATGCTCCGGTCCACAGTGACTGAGGGACAACATCACATCTGCAGGAATGTGTCAAGAATCACTAATATTTTATAAATCCTGTTTGTGACATTAACACATAGACTCTCGTTCCATGCGTATTTGCAGGATTGAGTGTTATCACAGTGCTATTTATTTTAACAGAATGTCTCAGTTCTGGTTTATCACTATAATTCTATGCATGCACATGTAATTCAGCAGATGTTGAGCGGCCTTGCCAGCACACCATCTGCTGACACTGAATCACAATCCAAAAAGCTTATTTTGCTGTTTGCCTCTCATTTAACTTCTATTTGTTTTTGCTTTAAACTCATGACCTCTGGATTTTATGTCGCTGTGCGGATTCTCCGTGCAGGACGTCACTCTCCTGTCTGAGCCGATCCTGTGAAACACACCTGGACACAAAATGGGTTTAGATTATGGCTCGGACTGAAGCCCTTATCAGTTCAGCACTAAGAGCATTTCTTCATTCAGTTTTGTTTGTTAATCCCGATCTGGTTCCCTACGACCTTTTGGACGTTGCGCATGTCCTCCCCCGAGGCTAACTCTTTTCTGACGAGCCGCACCAAGAATTCAACATAAAGTGGCGGCTGAAGAAGCTGCTGCTGCTGTATCATGACAGTGTTTTCTTTGTTTTATAGGTGAGAGATGCCGCAGTTTCATTGATTTGGCTCCTGCATCAGAGAAAGGTGAGTGTCCACTGCTCATTATCTGAAGGTCTAAGCATAATTTATAAAATGAAAAATAACAACTCTTCCTCATTGAAGACTCACGTGGTACTTTTGCAATCTGTGAAATGAAATTGAATGTTCACAAGAGTAACATGTCGCCTGGAAGAGGTTAGAAATTAGATTTTTCCCTCCATTAAGGGCATCTATTGATAAATCTTTACCACTGTGCTGCCTGTGTTTGAAACATCAGCAGGGTGACTTTGCCTTCAGGCCGGGTTGAGAGCAATAGAACTGGAATGACCAGAAGCAAATGTATTTCTTTCCAAATAAATATCTTGCTATTAAAGTGTCCACTCTGCAAAATGTTTTTAAATAGCAAGACAAATGTCTCTAAATGTATTTGTTTTTTTTATTTAGCTTTGCAAGACATGAGACAGTGACAATGACACTGTGTGTTCAAGTCTGAGAGGTTCAAGAACATACAGTGTATTAACAATATTATATTAATAGTGATTATAGTCTGACAATAATAGTCTAAGCACTGCCATAATCTAATCATAAAAATATTGTCATTACAATAGTAGTCCTACAACATAATAATAATTTTCAAGATAAAAAAAACTGATTACCATAAATAGATACTCATGTAATTATTGTTTCAAAAGTTTAGTAAAGTAAAATCACCTAAGTCACTTTTAACCACCGAGCTATGCATGAACAATATGACGATGTACTCTATACTTCCTCAGAGTATCAGTTTTAGTCTATAACTTTTTTTAAATCAGGAAGTCCTCCACTCTCACTTTGGGAATCGTCCCCTCATGAATCAATGGAGGGACACAGATTCTCAAGCTGTGTTGAATCCCTCCTTTGGGAAATGCTTGCTTGCCGCTGATGTGAATAACAAGAGGGCGGGAGAAGCAGAGATATTTTTGTGTTGGCAGGTCACATTTGGCTTGATTCATTGAGAAGCTGAATCAGGCTCGTAGGAGACTGAAGAGCTCAGCTGAAATTCAGCCACTCTCCAAGTGAAAATATCCTTCGTCAGCCTTTATGAGCTGCACGAGGAACCTCTGAGATATCAGATTAATAGTATAGAAGTGCAACGTGCAAATTAAAGAATGTGGAGTTGTTGTAGAATAGTGGAAATTGAACTGTGGGTTAAAATTATAACCATGTCTACCTTAGATTTAATGTATAGTTATTGCAATCAACAGTGCCTGTCTTGCAGGGATGCTGTGGCTGTCACTGGTTTCTGAGATGCTGTACATTGTTCTGCTGGTGGTGGGCTTCAGCCTCATGTGTTTAGAGCTGGTCCACTCCAGCAACGTCATCGATGGACTCAAGCTCAATGCCTTCGCTGCCGTGTTCACTGTCCTCTCAGGTACTCTGGTGGAGAGTGTGTGTGTGTTTCTTTTTTATTGCCTGTAACCCACCATATTGATATTAGAGACCAGAGTTTGTGATTTATGCGGTTTAATATCGGGCACAACATGTTCCATCCCACCGCCTGACGAGAGAGAGAAGCTAACAAAACCAACATCATTTGAAGGAGCCAGTTCTTCACTTTTTTTCTGTAAAGAATAAATCAAAACCAAACTGGAACTCAGTACATGACAGTCCCCTTATGAAATCACAATTAAAGTAACTAGATCCACTTTTGTATTTGGATCTGCACCAAATTAAACACACTCATAGTTATCAATAACCTACAGAAAGTTTCCCATGGGTTAGGGTTATCCATAAATCATTATCTGAGAAATTAATGAAATGAAATGAAAAATCTGGATCTGCATCAAAATGTAATGGATTCTTTCCTGACCCATACCACATCCTTCTGCTAAGTTGCATGGTTATCCATCCTGTAGTTTTTGCGTAATATTGATTACAAACAAACAAATGGACAGGGGAGAAAACATAACCTCTTTGGAGGTGGTACAGTATTTGTTCAAAATCTGTGACGTAGGAATATAATGAAATAAAAGTGGGTCAAGATGAAATGAAAACACAGTGATCACAGAGCAGCAGTCTCCAGTGGAATTAAGGATGATATCTGTTGTACATATTGGATACAAATCTCAGATCATTTAAGAGTGAACAAGCATGAACAAATTGAATGGATGTAGGCGACTGGGATCACTTTATTTCAGTGAGTTTGCATATTTGAAAACCTTTCTATAGTTGTGCTGAATCCCTGTGCATGATTTTGTTTTTGAAGCTAAACAATCAGACATGCTGTGTGTGTGATTTCAGGGCTTCTTGGTATGGTGGCTCATGTGATGTACACACAGGTCTTTCAGGTCACCGTCAGCCTCGGTCCACCGGACTGGAGGCCCTACAACTGGGACTACGGCTGGTCCTTCTGGTATGACGCACCTCAGAGATCAGACTCATTGTGCTTTTGTTCAGGATTAAACGTCATATGAAGCAATTGGAATAAGCTGCCTGCACTTAGAGATATATACAAATAAAGCTAAGTCGTCTCTTAAGAAAACCAGATGAGGAATTCCTCTCTGCATGCAGCAGCCCCAAATCGTCAGTTTGTAGCTCCACTGTCACCTCTCCCCAGCATCAGTGTCTCTAATGAAAAAAGCCCAAAGCTCCCATGTTATAGCAGGATTAGGCTTTGGTGTCCAAAGCCCCAATACAGGCGTGATTGGAATTGCATAAGGGGATAATATTTCACCCCTTTACAATATGTTCAGTATGCTGACAGATTCATCTTCAAACAATTCTTGACCTTTTGGTGGCATTAACCAAACAGTGTGAGAAGTACACGATGGTTTGATTGTGTGATCTCACATGTGGTCCAGCATCCTCCGGGGGGGCAGAGGGTCTTAAAGCGATTGATACTAATCTCAACAACCAAAAGAGTCGGAGTACTGAGTGAAAAATGTCAAAACTAAATTAAAATTATTTGGTAATGCCTGCTCTGGAAGGTGAGTGAGCACAACAATTCTTGATTGGATGGTTGGATATTAAGTTTAAAGTGGAACTTTACAAAAGTGTTTCATACGGCAAACAAAATCAACCACAAGGCAAACCACAAGTGACAGGTATACGCTGAATACGCTAACCTAAACGCAATATAGATGTACACAAGCTTTTGCATTAATTTACACAAACAAAGCCGAGTTCTCCAGCATGTGTTTTCTCTCTTCCTTTTATTTCAGCATGGCCTGGGCGTCCTTCACCTGCTGTATGGGTGCGTCAGTCACCACCCTCAACTCGTACACGAAGACCGTCATAGAGTTCAGGCACAAACGTAAGACCTTTGAGCAAAGCATTCGGGAGGAGCACGCAAGGGAGGCTTTCGGATATTTCCAAGAACGCTCTGTGCACTCCATCTCCAAATCCGTGGAGGTTTATTCGAGCCAGAGCCTGAAAAGTGGCAGGAAAACTCCCATACCCGCTGACTCTCTGGACCTGAGTGACATTGCAGCATCTTTAGGGGAAGAACAGTGCTGAGTGTGACGGGACAGTATAGGTGGCAGCTTGATGGATTGGAGGCGTTGTTGTCCCACTCTGCTTTGTGTTCAGTCTGGGATGAAGGCCTCACGGGATCATCAGCTCTATCTGATGCATTTTAACACTGCCTTAATGAAACGGGTCGCAGGGATTCAAGTCACACAAGGTCATTCAGCTGAGAACTGGCAACATGAACATGAACTGATATCATGGATGAAGGTGTTTTCTCTGTTTGTGTAACTTACCGCAGTGTAAATTTAAAGTATAACCCAATCATTATCGTGAGGGTCTGTCGGATGCTAATCGCCTTATTTAACGTGTTTCAGTCGATCAATAAATCAATGCAAATGATTGTCTAATCACAAAGACTTGGTGTAACTGGTGTTTATTAAATGTGAAATAAAGCCACAAATACCTACTGCAAATGATGTGCCTAGATGCAGTTTATACAGTGAAGGCCGGTCAAACACTTTTTGTTCTTCAGGCTCTGAAACTCAGCTCATCCGATCTCAAATAAAATGATGAACAGTTTGCAAAGTCTCAGCTTTGATTAGACCAGATTCATGTTATTATAGAAATATGTGGGTGATAAAGCCCTTCAAGCACATAGTACCTGGGTTGGTTGAGTAAGATGGTTGTTAGAAACTAATTAGACACTTCCTTTGAATGTTTCAAGCTTTCAATCTTAGTTCATCCACAAGAAGCACTCACACATGTCTGGGAGTTGCCTGTGACTTTAATTGAAAATGAACCAAATCTATTGCCATGCACAATAAGGAACAGAAGTGATGTGATAAAAACGAGAGTCCATTTGGTGCTTAGACTCGTCGTGATGGACACTCGAGGTGATGGGGAGGAGGAGGGGGGTCGCAGTGAATCACTGAATCTACAGCTGAATGCAGCAGAGAGGAGAGTTTGACAGAAAAAAAACATGATTGGCTGATTTGAGACAAGATTAACTATTATTTAAGGATTCACAGAAATGATTCACCTCACTCTTGTTCAGGATAACCAACACTGTCAGCATGTTCAATTTAAAGTTTACAAAATCAAAGTGAAAAGCAGCTAAATGTTTATTATTACATTCATAACTTGCTCTTGTTAAATATTATATTATTAATATTATTATTATATAAGAGGTGACCACGACTTTTCACCTCACTCTTGTTCATGGTCCCTCCCACTGTCTGTGTGTCAAGTTCCAGAAGATTTTACTCCAGAAACAGTGTCACAGTGTGTAAAGTGAAATTCTTCTTGCATGTATGTCCAATCTGAATCACGCACGCCCATTAATATTCTACAAGTAGTTTACCCTATTGGAAAAAAAACAAAGCCTTGACCAATCACAAATAATGAATGTATAGAAAAACAGTAACTCTGCTGATTATCATCCAATAATTGTCATTTTACATTTTTCAACTGCTTTTGACAATTTGAGAGATAAGTAAGTGGGTTTTCACAGCACAGTGTTGTAAGTGTTATTGTTATAAAGCAAAGTTCCTACTATGTTACCATTATTGACAGAATTGATATAATATATTTGATATTTATCCTTTTTCTATCTATCCTAGTTTTATTTTATTTATGTCTCCATTACCCACTGACAGCAAGCCAGGTCAAATCAGGAAAGACCTGTTGTATTATTGCCAAGCATTATAAAAATACTAAGTTATGATGTATTTTGTTGTGAAATGTTCTCTGAATCAAAATAAAAGCGTATTTTTGGGCTATTTATGGCAGCATCAGTGTGACAGCTGTTACCTATGGTTCCACGCAGAGTGCCTGGAGCCCAGCATAGATTCGACTGCCAAAACTGCAGACTGAAACTGCTATTTGTCACAAACAACTTATTTTCTGTTCTCTGTTCTATATTGATGTACATCTTCTCAAATTGAAGCTGACACACTTGTATTATATTCATATTATTATTCATCTCAATGTGCTGAAGTTCAGAACTTGAAGAACAAAAACTGTGTTGTCGACCAAATACTTCCAGCCTCTACTGTAAATTGTAAATAGGTTGTTCAGTATGTACACAGAAAGATTATGAAAAACGGTATATTATTTTATCCTTGGATACTTCATGTCTACTACTTTTATTGTGTAATAAAATTCCAATGAGAATTTGTTATACACCTGCATTAAACATATCAAAACTTATAATTAGAGACATGTAGCATGGAGGTTCACATGAACACTTGATTGGAATGATGTGCAGTATAACAACCCCAGTATAGCATGTTATTTTCATTTCATGTTTCTGCCTCGATTAGAGGAAAATAATTACTCAATGTCGTCAAAATGCGTATTTTAAACAAATACAGTGAATATTGTGATTCACAATTAAGATTTAATTTTCTACTGTTTGTGTTTATCAGGGGGGTGGGGACAAGGGGAGGCATAGATGTTTATCAAGGTTTTTGGTGGATGTTTGTAGCGGTGGAAGAGATATTCATATATTATTCCATGAGTTTAAGTAACAATACTATTATAAACCGATGTAACTGTAAAACTGTAGTAAAGTAAAGGTATAGTTATCTACTAAATTGTATACATTATAAAATTAAAACTAAACACTCTAGAATTGCAGGTTGATATTTGGAACATCGTTATTTCTCAAAACGTGTATGGATCTTTGATTTGACTCATCAGACTCATGACCATCAGTTCCTCTTCACATCTGATCTGTGGTGTTGCCTGAATATTACCTACAGAGGGCAGTATTGTCTCAGCAGACTTTTGCATTTCCTTAATTAGTATCAGGAGATAATTTATTTTTCGCAGGACATATATATACATGAATAGTGTTAACAGTTTATGTTTATGATACAGAAATTACATTAGAAATGACACAGAATCAGACCTTATGAGTTAATGTTGGTACTTTTCTGTCAAAAGACTTAAAGAAATGTATTATAATGTTATAAAATATATCTTTTAAAAAAAGGTTTATAAAGAGGTGAACCTGCACTCTCTTATAGCTCTGCAACTAGAAATGTATTTGTTCTTTTGAATACGCAGCAGGTTTTAATTCATTGCATTTCTGGAGAAATACCCCGATTTCTTGACTGATGCTAAATTACAACATGACAAGTTGAATGACAGTCAGCTTAAAGAAAATCTATTCTGTATATCTTTTCTCTTTAAGTCCTCTCCGTTTGTGATCATTTCAGTTAGTTCAGTAACCGTCATCAAACTCGTTCTGGGCCTGCTGCCGGGCCAACATGGCCTGAATGAGAGCACTGGAGCGTGAGGGGACTGGGTTTTGTTCTTCTTCCTCAGCTCTCTGCCTGGCTTGCATGACTTGCATCATAACACTTGACACAGGAGATGTTGGGTCACCCGTGTTTTCAGAAAAGCCTGCTGCGCCGTAGTACTCATCCCTCTCTTGACCCTCTACCCTCTGCCTGGCCTGCAGGGCCTGTGCGAGGGCATTGGAGGACGAGTGGTGTTTATCAGACATCTGGTACACATCTTCAACCAGGTCGTCAGCTCTCTGCCGGGCCAACATGGCCTGCATCTGGGCACTGGAGGTGGACATGTCGGAGGGAACCAACACTCCACCATTGCTCCGTCTTTCTTCTTCCTCTTCGAGACGCTGGCGAGCAAGGAGAGCCTGAAACATGGCATTTGAGTTGGACTGACCGCCTGAGGAGTGATCATCTGAACGTCGTTTGGGCTGAAGGACAGAGGAAAATATTTAGTGTGGCTGATGACAAATCTCAGGGTGAAGGGCGGTTAAGTAGCATGAGACAGCAAACCTTTTTTTGATTCTTGTGTTTAGATTTTTTATTAGGCTGAGATTTCTGGAGGTTCTGGAGCTTGTCCAACAAGAACGACTTGTCTTTTCCCTCCTGGCCAGAGAAAATGAAAAAGGAAATATAGAGGAAAATTATATACAGTTCAGTACAACTAAGGCTGTGTCTCTATTCCCCAAGGGAAACGAAATAAACTGAATAAATTAAAGGACGTCAATCAAAACTCACATTAAGAATCTGCTGTTTCAGTAGACCAATCAACTCCTTGCGGCCCCGAGTGACTTGCCAGAACATGTATATGATGATCCTGGGCAATAAAAAAAAACTGTGATTGTGACACAAAGATAGAACAATGTACATGAACACACATGAGTAACAGTGTTCCAGTCTCTATTGCTCTGTCATAGTCAAATTAATCTAAATAAGTGAACTACAACATTATGACTGCTGGGTATGCAGAGGTTTTCATGGTGCCCCTTATTTACTGTGCATGACTGATTCACTGATGTGGCCAACTGCTTAAAGTCCAGACTAACCTGTTCTCAAATTCAATGATGTGGAACCTTTAGTGCTCTGGACCTAACAGGTCACTACAGTATTATATTCACAACGCACTTCATTGTCTATTGTGTTGACATAACTGCCTTAGTGGATTAACATCATCAAATTTCATTAGGATTCCTATCAAAGCAAAACACATTCATTTAATGAATTGGCATAAAATTGTGTTAATGGTACCCAGAGGATTAATCCTAATGAATTTAGTGGTCTCCTTCCTTATAGCGCAACCAAGAGGCTGACTTTTTAAGTGACCAAATACATGCAAAAAATAATGTCATTCCCATCAGCCTCAGCTTTGCTTTGTATTTCGTGTTTGCTTTGGTCTGCAGGTTTAATAATAATTGAAAAACATGCAACATGAAGCACACACAAAACACACCCCTTGCACGATGCACTTACAGGATGATGAGTGTGATAAGAAAATAGAAGATTTCACTCCTGATGACATTTTGGTAGATCCAGACAACCCACTGAGAACCAGGGATCTCCCCCAGATCATCTATCCAGATGCCAACCACACTGAAGGTGTTGTTGAGTCCCCGGAAAGGACCACACTGCTCCGAGGGAGTCAGACTGCAGAGCAGGACGAAACAAAAAATTTGATTCGGGGGAATTTGTTCACTGGTAAAGAATACAGCATGTATCAAAGACTGGTATTATTGAGGTTTTGTTCCTATTTTGCTCAGAGGGTTATGATCTTTAAGACATATTTTTCTTTAACAACCTGCTAATATTCGATAAAGGTTAAATTGCTGTCTAAGTAGGTCACGTCCTCATACCTCCAGGCAGTGTATGCAACCATGGACAAGGCTCCCACGAAGAAAGGGAAGAAGAGGAGGGCGATGAAGGTTGTTTGCATCTGAGCTGCCCTGCCTGTTCGCCGCGGAGGCTGGCAGTTCTGGGTCAAGCTGACCTGAGGAAGAGCAAAAAAAGAATATGAACAAAGACAACATTTTCATTCATTATTATTGAAATAACTTGGTGAAGTACAAGCTCATTTCCTTTTTCACTGCATAATAGAAAACCACAGAATCTCATAGAGCTTTGAATAGCATTGCTTGAAAGGTCACTTAGCATGTTCATGAAACATTGAGCAACATGAGATCAGGCCTGGGTCGAATTACATAGTCATAAAGAAGTAATTTACTTTTTCCAAGAGTGATTGATCCCCATGTGGCCTGGGAAAGTACAATGCAACAGGCAGCTTTACTCCATCAATCCAAAATCCTGCCTCTCTTTTCCATAACACAAAATAAGGCATGCTTTGAATATATTGAAAGGATTTGAATGAATTATTGACCAGGTGCGCAAGAGTAACATGAGCCGTTCAGGAGCATGGAGCTGCTCAGGCAGAAATGGCATTGTGCTGATGGTAGTGTGTCATCATGGCTGTTCAGTTACCAGAGCGACCAAACCTGCATTTACCTTCTTCAAGTAAAATAAAATGAAAAACTTGACAATCTGGATGGCAGGCAGCAGGGGAGAGAAGTAGATCCCAACCCTGTGGAAAGAAAATAGAGGGTACAACAACTTTTAATAGGATATTTGCACTTTGACCGAGAGAGAAAATGCGAGACTTTATTATAATACAACAGTGCCACCAGATAATGTGTGCAATTAGGCAAGTGTTAATGAATTGCTCTTACCAGGCAAGTGTCTGTGCATATATGAGTTCAAGGACATTTCTGGCTATGTCAAACTCTGGAACCCCCAGACGTGGTAATAATGTGGTCCCGATTACACTATAATAGAGAGATGATGAGTATGATTTACATCCATGGTTATATTTGCTTTAAACACAATTTGTGTAACTTACTTGCTGAGAAACTCTCCAAAGAAAGATCCCAACATCAGGAAGAAGAAGTCAAAAATGACCAGACGGTACAAAGCCTGTCCTACCAAGGACTCCCAACACTGCAGGGAGCACATTGGATGGGAGAAATGGTGAAACATATTGATTATATAAATAACAGTGCAGTCATATTTGATGCCAAACATACCGAAAAATTCGTAGCAACCACGTTCATCCAGTAATAACACAAGACACCCAGAATGGATATCCTGAGTAAGACATTTCTGTGAAAAGAAAAATATATTTAGAAACAAAAATCCTTTTTTTTCTTGGTGAGAATTGGGTGAGAAGATCAGCACCGAATATGAAGCCAGAGCTCGCAACCGATGAGGTGAGCAAGCATAAAGACTGAAAATGTAGCTCTCTCTGGGCCACAAGGGGTCTGAAGGGTCCCAAAGCCACCTCACCTGTATAATTTGTCCCCTCTGTTTAGACTTGATGTAGCAATAGCAAAGTTGTAGCCATAGGAAAATGATTGGCTGAGATACATGCAAATCAGATCAGTTTGTTTACTCATAGTTCAACTAGTTGGTTCTCTTTACCAGGCTTGTATGCTTGGCTTTAAGTTAAGTATAAATTCCAATGGAATGAAAATGGATGTCAGAAAATGGTTTGCTTCTGGAAGGAAAAAGTAAAATCCCAGAGAGCCCAGCCGATGCCAGTAGCTCCAGTAGCAGCAATGACAGATGGCAAGATGGAGCTAGCAGGGGTGTTTTTTTTAATTATTATTTCTTTTTGAAGCAGTAGTTTTATGTTGCTGTTATTTAACCTTTGAAGGGAATTGCATGGTTAAACTATGCCCACTTGCAATTTTTAACAGCACCCCTCAATCACTTCATACTGGCCCAGGGCTTGGTTAACACAGTAGGTAAGTTTCACTTAACTGACACCCAACATCATAGTTTATTTAAACTGTACAGATATGTGCAAACACAGTATATTTATGGTTAGAGAATAAATATTCTGGGACATAATCAATTTTATTCCTTTTATACATTTTATATAAACTAGATATTGGCTACCATGATAATATTGAACTTGCCTGTTTTCAAACTAAATAAACCTAAATTTATCTAGGCCAATTGCATGTGCTCTTCTTCATGGAATCGAAAGTAAATATTCTATCTGACCTGACCACGAGAGCATAGATCTGTCTCCGCTGACTGGAGTAGTGCTCAAACTTGTTGAAGAGTGAGTAGAAGAGCGGGACGACCAGATTCATCAGAGACACCACAAAAGGAACCAGGAGAGTCTCTGCCTCCTGCAGCAGAGACCAGCTGGCAGCTGCAGTTGCTCGCTATAAAGACAACAGCTGTAGGTCAGATCAAGATAGGTTGCAATGAAATGAATCAAACCCCAGTGCTGCTGGTAAATGACTTGACACGTCAATAACTCAAACGTTTATGATGCTGATACAGATCTTAAAGGCAAAATCCTTTACTATGCCATAAAGTATTATGATATTGTTTATCTACATATACACATGGGATCCTTGACTGTGCAGACAAGGACATTTTTCTTTAAATACTTGTTTTTAGTGCAATAAAACTAATTAAAATTTCCCATTTCATATTCTCTGTAGTCTATTTTCAACAACAAAAAAAGTATATCCCAATTTAACAATCGGACTAATTATTCAATCTTGACTTGTGTACCCGCTGTTCATATTGGCAGAGGTAGTAGATGCTGGCTCCGCAGCCAACAGCTAAGCCAGTGGAGAGGAGCCAGGAACCAAGATAAACCCCGAAGTGCTTCAGTTTTTCAGAGAGGGTTAGCAGCTCCCTCTGGGCCTTCTCCGACAAAGACTCCTGGAGAGATGGCAAGAGGACAAGCATGGCGATGAAATATAATGAGACACGTGATGTGCCTGCAAAAATGGAATTAATCTCTTAAAAGTTAACTGTCTGAAATTTGTGTGAAAGCCTATTGTGAATATATCATTTTCAGTTTTGAGTGGCAATAATAGTCACCTTGAGTTGGACACGGAGGTTGTTCTTGCGCTGCTTCACTGCTCTCTCATTGGTTACACTAAAATCCCAGCTGCACAGAACCTGCCATGCGCCACTTGAAGCTGGTGCTTCTAGAACATAGTTTGTTTTAAATGAGCTCGCCATGCTGCATGAGGTTAAACAGAGATTGGAAAAAGTAGATAACAGCCATTAAAACATTATTGTAATTAAACTTCAACAGAACGAGGACTGGGGAAAGTGAAGATAAATGCCGGCAGCTGCCCCAGTCGTGGAGACGCGGGGGTCTCAAAGCTGAACTGACCTGAAAATAAGTGCAATACCACACAGCACCATGTAGACTGCAATGGTGAAGAAATAGGCCAGCTGCATGTTGTAGTCAACTCGACCCACAAGTGTTTTATTGCTGTAGCCACCATAGTACATGACCGTAGAGGTGAAGTAACCCTGGAAAAACCAAAATGCAGTGGAAACAACCAGTCAATTTTATCTCTCTGCAGAGTTCAGTGTCAATCAAATATTAAAACACAAGAAGCCTAATATGGATTGATTCATTCTATCAATAAGTCTAATTCACTCTTCTTTAAAGGTTCAGCATGTAGAATTTAGTGACCTCTAGTGGTGAAGTTGCATGGGCCAAGGGAGAACCCATTTCCTTTGGTGTGGATTCCATAAAGGAGGCAGATCCAGGAGTTTTCTTTTTTTCAGTTTCTTAAACATTGCAAGATAGGAGGTATGTGCTCTCTGAGGCCCTGCTACTTTTAAGAGCTGTGGCTTTACAAGAGGTAACTGGTGAATAAAAGCATCCACTTACAGCTCCAGTCAGTATCTCCAGTCCTTTGAAGCTCACTTCTGGAGGTATGTTGGGTAAGGGGTCGCTAACAAGCAGCGGGATGGTGATGAAGCCAAAGTTCACCAGGAAGGAGAAGATGTTGAACATGAGCAACCATCTGAGGAAAACGAAATAGGAGAGGACACTGGTGCCAAACTTGCCACCAATCTCTTTCATGATGCCTTGCCACAGCTCCAGGGTCTGCCTGGCTGACCGGATACTGTAGCCACACCTGCGGAAAAACTGAGAAAACAGCCTGTAACATGTATGACATTATGAATCACATTCCTTAATGACTTGTTTGCATGGTGTCCCAACTTATTGTTTTGTGAATGATGAATTACTCACCAGTGACACATTCTCAGAGCAATCTGCAAAACATGTGAACTGGCGAGATTGCTTGGTGGACTTGAATGCCATTACTTGGCTCCTGTAAGGATAATTGATAAAATCCTTTTTAACATTACAAGATAAAGAGTTTTATGAAATGTTTCTGAATTTCTAAACAGATTATGCAGAGATCTTGATGAAAAAGGTCTGGCATATTTAAGGAACTGGTAAATTTGGTGCGGTTTGATCGAATTTAAAAGGACTGTTGGGCAATAGTGGAGGTTTGCTCCCTACCGAGGACAGTTCTAGTTTATTTGTCAGTAAGGTTATGCAAAAACTACTTAACTGATTTTCACATGGTGAATGGATAGGGCCTGGGTAGAACCCATTAGGTTTTAGTGTCGATTGAGATTATGACAAAACATGAATAACTTATTTAAATTATCAGATCACATCTGTTTTTTCTTTTATAATCCATTACTGTGAGAACTAAACAAAAAGGTGTGTAACTGTTTGGCCTTGGCAGAGGAATGTGCCAGAATAGTTTCTATATATCTTGTTGAAACAAGAGAGCAGTGTGTTTAAGTGTGTGTGTGTGTGTGTGTGTGTGTGTGTGTGTGTGTGTGTGTGTGTGTGCACAGATCTCTTCTTCCTGTGATCTATTGCAACATCCTGAAGCCAAGAGGGTTAGGGAGTAATGTTTAACTTAGTTCTTATGGTGACACTGACAAAGAAGTTTATTACCTCTGACTGCTTGTTATTCAAAACCCACCTGATATGTTTCTTTTCCTCAAAGCTCATTGGAAGATCCTGAATAGCTCGGATTCGGTCTCGTGTTGACATGGCAACAAGGTCCTTGACCAGGTTCTGTTCCTCTGTGATGAACAAGACCGACAAGAAAGTCCTTAACAAGCAACAGCAACCGTCCACAGCACAGGCTGGGTGTCAGACTCCACAGGAATAACGCGACACCCGTCACAGGCTCTTACCATTCTCCATCTCATTCCTGATGGCATGCTCTGTGAATGCTACATGAGCAGGATCAGTGTCGGGAAACATGCTCATCCTCCGCACAGTGACTCCCCTCCATCTCATTGTCATTTTGCCTGGGTTGAACACAAAGATGAAGGTGTGCTTTCAGATTAAGATAATAGTTCAAACAATTCCCTTCCATCTTTTTCTAATTCCATCCTTCCTCCCTTCTTACTTGTCATTTGTTGTTAGGCCTCCATTAATAATTACCCAGTTTGTTCATTATAACAGGTCAACTTGAATCTCACATTTACTTTAAATCATGAAATAACTTCACAACTCTGTGTGTACATAGCAATATCATAGCAACAGTGTGAGAGCCGACAGTAATGTTTATACGTTTCTGATAGTCAAAAGAAGCTTTTATCCTCAGAGTAGGATTAGTTTACCTGAAGAAGGAAGTTGAACCGATGATGATCGATCATACTGAGAGTCTGGGTTGACCTGAAATGTGCTGCGGTCTGTATGATAAAAGTGAGAGGGGAAATAGAGTGGAAGTATCAACAGAGGTGTCACTTAGCAACACTTGAAGGAACATACAAAACTGCAGTGTCACCTGACAGACTCACAAGTTGTGCCCCATAATACAATACAGAATGCATTATGTATACAAAGGTTTAAAGTCACGAGTAGATTGTCCACTCACTGAGATCATGCTGCTGTGAAGGGCTCCCAGGGCGCGCTGAAATGAGGCCCATGGGGATGCTCTCTATCCCCCTCCAGCTCTCCCCCTGCCAGCCCCTCCAGGGCACTCTTGCAAAAGCCTCATCACCGCCCGTCATCTGACTCATGCGGCCGTCATGTGTCTCTGCCCTGTCATCCTGCCAGGCCGGGTCTTCCCTGGCATAGGGGTTAGTATGGTGGGATTTGTTTGAATATCTATAGCGGCCACAAGGAGTAGATATTGTTTTAAGTTAAAAACAGATGACTTATCAATGAACTCATACAATATGTGTTTGTGAAAAAAAACCAGAAGGGGGTTAACAATTCAAAAACGAAAGTCCAAAATTCAGATTTCATGATATATGTTATTTGTAATTAGATATGACTGCTACGGAGGAGACGTCTTTCCAATGTGAGTGATAAGAGGTATAATGTTCTACAAGGAAGAGTTGGATTTAGTTTGCACCAATGCATTTGTTTCTTAAATGTATCTAAATGTTTTCTTTTAAGAATATTTACACTCTTTGGTCCTAAGAATAAAATTGATTGAAACAAGCTTGATCCTGGTAAAAAAAAAAAGGGTAAATACTTAATTCACTCAGCTAACTGTTCCTTATGGACATCCTGTTTATTATTTTATGGTACAGTATATGGCTTCTGACCAAAAGTACAAACTACACGCAGCACTCTGGCAAACTCAGTCATTGATTATAAAACAGGAGGTTTTTTTAAGGTGATTATATGAGCACAAACCTTCTATCAACTTCCAGAGTCTCACTGTCATGGTAAGCAGGGTTGAAAAATCCACCGTTGCTGTAGCTTGACATGAGATTCTTGCTGAGTTGATCCTCTTCTTTTGTTTGGAGGAAATTCTTCAGCTGCTCTTCAATATGTTGACGTGTAAATAGTCCAGTTGCAGCAACACACTGTAAACGGCTAACTCAGTTGAATTCACACAGGCATAAATGACTTTAACGGAGACCATACGTAATATAACAGCATTTGCTTGATTACATGTTGTATAAAGGCTTCTGATGCCAGCTATGTGAACTTTGATAAAACTCAAACAAGCAGCATCACATGTAGAGGCTAAGTGGCTCTGTGTCCTCAAGAGTGACAGCTACAATTGTCGAGAGGGGGGAGGGGGGGGCATAATAGTGTCATTTAATCTCTTGGTCCCATCCTTATCTGTCCATCATTAATTCATTCACCTGGTTTAGTTTCGTAACATGGCTGTATGGCTCTCACACAGACACACTGAATAAAAATGTAAAAGAGTAGGGACTACTAATGTTTGAGAGTCTACAACTAATTGATTTTATACATTAAAAAAAACTATGACATTGTATTAAATTATTCTGCTCCATTACCAAAGCCCTGCTTACCTGGTGTGAATGTAGCTCCGTCTATCTGTCGTGGTAGACTGAACCTGCGGAGTGTGAATCAGCCTGAGAGCCACAGTCAGAGAGAGAGAAAGAGAGAGACAGAGAACTGTGTGGCTACCGGGAAGTGAGTGCTGAACTCATTAAGGTAAAAGTCCACTGCACCTGTACACAACAGATAAATCTCATGTGGACACTTTGTGATATGACAAAAATAAGTAAACCCCTAAGGCTAAAATCAAATTGCCATACTTATTATGATTTAAGTGTTCAAGAGTCCATGCTTGATCTACTGTAGAGGGAGAGCTGGTGCTCACGGACTGAACTCATACAGACACACTGATAAATAAATAATAATTTATTTAATTACTTAATGTATAAAACATTAATAAATGAATCTGCCATTTACCAAAAACTATAAGTCCTGTACAAGTCCGTGTTTCCTCTCCTTCTCTATGTTAAGATTCACTCCACTCAAGAAGCTTACTTTACTTATCATAACAAACAAATAAGTCTGAGACAGTCTGTGAAATTAATTGTTTTGATCTTCAGCCTTTACTGAACCAGACCCATGGGCAGCAAACCTCTGGGCAGTCTGATAGCCAGGTTAATGATCCTTTGCTATGTTAATATGCAGGTTAGTTATACTGTTGATCAATAATACCCAAGTTAATATTTGACTTATTGTTACTTTGGTATGTTAATATGCAGGCTATTGATGCTGTTGATCATTGATATCCAGGTTAAGGATAATAGGCTCCATTAATATCTAAGTTGTTGATACTTTGGTATGTTAATATCTAGACTATTGATACACTGGAACCTTAATGTACAGGTTACTGTAGATTGTCAAGATGCAGATTATGGATACTTTCATAGTTTAGGTTATCTTTTGTATGTTAATAACCGATGATTGATATGAAAGTTATTTATCCTTTTGCATATCGACATTAAGTTTATCAAAAATTTGGAATATAAATATCGGTTGTTGATAGTCATATTTCATATACATGTATTCTGCAAAAATATTTTTGCAAACATTTCATTTTTTTATTAATTCATTCATTTCATGTGCATATTACACATTGTCCAACTTGTGCTAAATTGATCTAAATGTAATTTTCGAGGGTAGCAATTAAAAGTATTAATCGTGGTGATATAGAATAATCGTAGAAGTAGATAAGGAGGAAGAATGAATTAAAGGCCCGTCAGTGGTGGGTAGAGTGTTGGAGCTGCGGTCACATTCAGGAAGTGATCTGTGGGAAACTCTCTGTTGTCTTCCTGACAGCTCCCAGTGGAAGTGTGCTAGCTCCACTGTTCGCTAACTGTGATATTTGACCATTAATAACACTAACAACTGTTCCTTCTGAGGAGGAAACGATGGAGGTCGACTCAGGTAAACATGGAGCTAGTGTGATGTGTGCTTCTATTACTGTTCTCACTAATAAGTTCATTAAAACAAGTACTTCAACATTAGCTGCGAGGCTAATAATGCTAGCCTCCAACTTTCGGATCGAATAGCTTCTAAAGTCAGACTAACAACTCTGACCTACGAGTTAATCGAGTTTGAAAATGACCTTTAGAAGAGCACAAGTATGAGAGCACCCAGAGTTTAGAGTGTTTGTGTCTATTGACCGTGTCACACTTCACTCTGTGTGTTTTACTCGCTCAGTCTGTTCTTGGTTTGTTTTGCTGTCGTCGATGCTGAACTCTTGAAACCGAGGAGCACGTTTGTTTGTTTCCCTCTCTGGAAACCTACAGAGTATCTGTCAGTAGCAACACACTGACTCCTTGTGTGTTTTTATGTTACAGCTCTTTCGTGATGATGTGTTGGAAATTATTGATTCATCCAAAACTCACATTTCCCTGTGATTTCTCATGACAAGTTACCGGAAAAGTAAATGAAAGGTCAGGGAATTAACAGAGGTTCAGTCCTCAGCACATCCGGCTTCATGCTGCATGTTATAGACCCGCCGTGAATTCATTTGTGATTTAATGTGATAGTGATATGAGCTGGTTGTCATTACTCCCAATAATACAGATGTTCTCTGTCACACACAAGTTATGGAGAATAGTTCTAGATCACAAATTGTATAGGTATATTCTGGTTTGTGATAAATGAGTAAAACTGGATTGCTTTTCTACTACAGTGCATTAAACATAGTAGTCTAAATCAGGGCTGTATCTGTTTGTTATTTACATTAAAGTGCAGATTTAAAATGTTCTCTTCTTATAATTTCAAGCACCCCAATAAGATATATGCACATTTCTGGTTTTATTTATCCAGCTGTCCAAATCCCAAATATTTAATGTAAAGGGCAACAAATTCCCACATTTGAGAAGCTGGACCTAGCATTTTTCATAGAAGAATGGCTTAAACAATTAATTGATTATCAAAAAGCTGCACATTAATACTTTTTTTCAACCCAATGATTAGTTTGATTTGCAATTTGATTTGATTTGTAGCATCTGCCACTGCATTTAGTCATTTACTTCAGGCTGGAAGTGAAAGATTATCACTTTATTATTATTTTACTGTCAGTTTCAACCATATATTAACTGTTGACTAAATGGAAGCCTTAAACACTAAATTATCAAACATTTTGCCACCTTTGTAAGATCTAATCATGTTTATTCACCTCTTCAAGTGTTCTACACTGATCGTAGCGGAAGAGTCGCCAGTAACCCGCTGCTGGACCAGCTCCCCAGCTACCAGTCCCTGCTGTACCGCAGGAAGTCCTCGACCAGTGGCACCAAGCGAAAGGGCAGCACTAGAACTCGGCTCAGCTCCTCTGGTAGTGGGAAATGGGGCGTGAGCACGGTCAGCAGACATGAGGAGAAGCAGAAGGGACAGACGGAGGAGAGACCCATCAGGGAACTGGCCAAGACCATGGCAGAGAAACGTAGAGACAAGTAGGAAAGAAATGATACTGTCTCTACCAAGTCGATGTTAAACATATATTGGTTCTTTTAAAGTGACTGGTAATGTTTCATGAATCACTCATTTCAAAAGTTAGTCTGCTAAGCTCTCAACAAGCGATGCATTTGACTGTGTAACCTGTCAGGACGCAGCAGCTGGAGGAGGCTCGAGAGCTCAGCAGCTGGAGACAGTGGAGGCAAAACACCTGCAGGAATCTGAGGAAGCTGAGGGATGATGCCAAAGACTGTCTGAGCTCCCTGCAGCTCTGGAGGGGAGACATCCACCTGATAGAGGGTGAGAGATGAGTAATGATGGTGTCACTGTCAGAAAAATGTAGCTAACCTCAGAGACATTCATTGATTTCTCTTCGGGATGGTCATCACGATGAAATACTTAGAGAGTGGACAAACTTTGGTTTTGTTCAGTTTGATGTCCTCCTTTCCTTCAGGGATGTTCGGCACAGGGATCTTGTCTTACTTCTCCTTCCTGCGCTTCCTGGTCATGCTCAACTTGATCATCTTTCTGCTCATGTTCAGCTTCGTCATGTTGCCCATCATCATCGCCTCCCATGCTTCATGGAACACCACCTACAACCAGAATGATGGTGAGAAGATACTAGTGTATTTAAACCTGGAGCATAAGTTGAGCATAAAAGGTCTCAAACATAAAAAATAACTGTTTCCATACAGGCAGTGAGTGCAGTGTGTATCCAAGCAGTGCTCGACGAGGCCTGGTTATTTTTCATGAACACATAACAGATCTGCTTTCTGGTGGAGTAAGTCCTTAAGTTCTGGATCTAACAGTCTCTAGAGAAAAACAGTCTCCATGTTGTTTCCTCACTCACTCACTGTGCCTCATCTGCAGGGTTTTCTGGAACAGACGTATCTTTTCTATGGCTACTACAAGGTGGACAAAATCCACTCCCCAAAAGGCATTTATAATTTGCCACTAGCATACCTGTTGGCTACTATAGCGTACCTGTTCCTCAGTCTCATCTGGATCGTTAAAAGGTACTGATAAGAAAACAATAATGACACAATTCCATTATTTGAACTATCAGTTTGTGGAAGTATGTTTTTCTCTCCTCAAGGTCGGCCACAGGATTCAAACGTAGCCTGGTTCAGGATGAGGATCGCTTTCAGAGTTTTTGCAACAAGATCTTTGCCGGCTGGGACTTCTGCATCACCAACGAGAATGCTGCGCGGCTGAAGAGAAGCAGTCTGCTCTATGAGCTCAGGGTTAGTTGATCATTCTGTTCAACAAGATGCATTAGAGAGAGCAGAGTGGTCATTTGCACTCCTTAGAGAAGCTCAGTTTTAATCTTGATAATAAACTTGTTTTTGCATTGACACATGTAACCCAGTGGAACCTACAGCCGCTTCTTACTATGATCTAGACATTTAATACGATTTTCATGTCTCTTCTTGGACATTGTTTCTTTATTTCGATCTTTTCAAAATGCTCTTCTCAGTTGAGTAGACTGAGTATTCTTTGTTAAGAAATGTGTTCCATCTCTTAATCATATCTGCAGACGGATTTGGAAGAAGAGAGGATCAAGCAGAAAATAGCGGATCGCACCCGCAAAGAGAAGTGTCGGATTTACTTCATCCGCCTCATCCTCAACCTCTTTGTCATCGGAGTATTGGCCGCTTGCTTCTACAGCATTTATGTAGCCACCACCGTCTCCCAGGAAGCACAACTGATTAATATAAAGGTAATGGAATCTTCCAATCGAACTCTAATGGTCCAATCTTTTTGGTATATTTCTCACATTTCTATACCTGAAATAATAGCTCCCTTGATCTGTTGGCAAAAAACTTAAATGGGATTTCTCCAAATTATTAGAAAAAAATAAAGACTGATGGTTATTTTTGTTAGATTTTTCTTGAAGTTTGTGAACCGTTTGAGCTCTGGAGATTCTGTCAGATCCTAATATCAGTAGGTGTCAAATCAATGTAATTTATTCTCTTTTACAGGAGAATTTCATTGTGGATCTCATCTATGAGTATCTGCCCTCAATAGTAATCACCATGGCCAACTTCATCACTCCGCTCCTCTTCTCCGTCATCATCAATTTCGAGGACTACTCCCCGGCCTTCGAGATCCGCTTCACTCTCATGAGGTGCAACAGACTTCCATTTATGACCACTCAAGATCCATTAATTATTCTCTGAGAAATCAACGAAAGTTTTGAAAAACACTGTATCTTACAATGTTAAAGAAAGAAAAAACCAAATTCCAGGATGCCCTCCCTGATCCAGATCAGCACCAAAATTGAATGGTCATGCCCCCCACCACTCCCAACTAACTAAGCGAACATTTAAAAAAAATTTAAAAACAGCAGAAACAAATAAGATGTGATAAAATATAATATAACAGGGAAAATGACAAAAATATTGATTCAGCAATAAATAAAATGGAGGGGTATTCTTTAATCACATGCTAATCAAAAGCTTGCAATGTTCTTAGTCTGCTTTTTAAAGAAGATAGCATAGAACGAGTAGAAAGGTAGATAATTCCAGAGAGTGGCTCCATAGGGACTGAAGGCACCACAGGCTAGGTTCATTTTTATTCTAGGTGTAGTGAGGAGACCTTTACCTGTGAAACCAATGGCTGAAAATCGTTGCCCTTTTTTTCCTTCTTTCCTTGTTTCTCTTCTCTCCTTCTCAGGTGTGTCTTCATGCGGTTGACCAGTATTGGGGTTCTGCTCTTCTCTCTCTGGTCTCAGATCACTAAATGTGAGGAGGATACCTGCATCTGTGGCTACAACCATGCCCTTTATTCTGTAAGTCCTTTTTTTTATTCCAGTAACTCAGTTACAGTTTCTTGTCATAATCTGCCAGTGCCAACTCTCTTTTATCTTCCTGTCAACAGTAGCTCAATGGTTTCCTTCAATGATTTAAGAGGTTTTAAACTATTAAGAGTTCACTTTAGAGTATTAATCATTTATGCCTCTTTAAATATACATTACTCAGAGTGTATTTACCCATTTTATTTTGATAAGGGAGCTTTTCAGTGGTAAGTGAGCCCTGTATTTATTCAGTCATTTGTCAAACATTGTTGTTTTCAACACATTGATCTATATCATTTCGATTACAGTGTAAAATGTCTCTGTGTTTCTTGGCTATGTTCCACAGTGCTGGGAGACCCGTGTGGGACAGGAGATGTACAAACTCACCATCTTTGATTTCATTATTATTGTGGCAGTCACCATCTTTGTGGAGTTTCCCCGAAAGTAAGTCCTTGCATTCCCACAGTAAAAAAACAACAACAAAACAATCATAATCTTTAAAATCTCAATCAAAACTGAACAATCTCTTTAGAAAAAGCCTTAGGTGAGTTTTTGTGTTGTCTGTCCGTCTGTCCATCCATCCCATTCTGGTGAACACAATCTCTCAAGAACGAGTGAATTTTCCTACATTTTCAAACATTAATTTAGACTCAGTGATGAATTGATTCGATTTTAGTGGTTTAAGGTCAAAGGTCAAGGTCATGCGACCCTGCAAAACCCTTTTTACCTCTTGAATGTGTTAACTTAAGAGCGCCTAGAGAGAATCATTTCATATTTGGCACAAATGTTCACTTGAACTCACTGATTAGATTTGGGTGGACAATGGTCAAAATTCTAGGTTAATCTGGCCTCACAAAACATGCTCTGGCATCTTCAGTATGATATCTCAAGTCTGCCTTTTAGGAAATGTATTCCAAAGTTTTCCCTTCAAATAGGTATGAATTGATTTGGTTTTAGTGGTCAAAGATCCCAGTGTACTTATATGAGTCTGGAAGAAAATACATGTAGACTGATACTGCCCTGGTTGGCAGAGGCATAGAACTTCAGGGTGGTCATTCTTTTTTATTCTTTTGCTTTAGTGGAATTCCTTCCTGTTCGCTATTTTAAATGTCCTTGCATGTCCCTGTGCTACTCAGGTTGATAGTGAACCACTGTGAATGTGGCCTGGCTAAGTGGTGGGGCCAGCAGGAGTTTGCTATTCCTCAGAATGTGCTTGAGATCGTCTACGGTCAAACAATATGCTGGATTGGCACGTTCTACTGCCCGATGCTGCCTGCCATCTGCACCATCAAATACTTTTTCATCTTCTACATTAAAAAGGTGATTTTTTTTGTCTCTAATAGATATCTTTACGTGGTTAAAACCAGGAACACAGCTTATGATAAGCTTCTTTCTTACTCCATTTTATTCAAAGGTATCACTGATAAATAATTGCCGACCAGCCACACGTCCATTTCGAGCTTCTCGCTCCAACTTCTTCTTCCTCGGCGTGCTGCTGATCGGTCTAGCTCTGGCCTGTCTGCCCATCACTGTCAGTGTCGCACAGTGAGTAATGACCATATTAAGTTTTAACTTGAGTCTCTGAGGCTTGAATAGAACCTCAAGAGCAAGTAATTACATCAGAGGTCAGTATTTATGTGATGAATTTTACTTTTTAAGAATTGAGACATGGTATTTCTCATTTCTTTCTTCTGCATATCAGTAAAATACTAAAGAAACAATCATTCATTGCTATTGTTCTCTTGGCATTTACACATATTCACCCTTCCCCTGCCTAGAATAAACTGTTCCCAGGCCTGTGGACCATTTGTTAATTATACCACCTCCTGGGAGGTGCTGCCAACTACGGTCTCCGATTTACCCGCTGGAGTTCAGACCCTGCTTTTTGCTCTTTCATCAGAGGCCTTTGCTGTCTCCTTCTTTGTTGTTACCTGGTAAGTCTCAGTCAGGACTTTCAGCTTTAAGCAGCAGTTGTTTTTTCTGTTAAAAATATTGTTAAAACAAAATGTCTTGTCCTGTTTTGTCTGCAGCTTGGCCATGTTTTATGTGATCGCGTTGGCTGGAGCTCACAAGAGAGTTATCAATCAGCTGAGGGAGCAGCTAGCCATGGTAACTTTACACAAGAATACAAGAACATATTTTCAGAAGATTGGCAAGTCATGCCATTCATTATTTTTATTCTTATTAATGTCATCTGTTGTTTTTACTGTTGAAACTACTAACTGCGTGTCATTTTGTTTTCCAGGAGGGTCGAGACAAACGTTTCCTGATCCAGAAGCTGTGCCAGGCTCAGAGAATCCCATCCATCAAATCTCCAGGGTCCAACTCTCGGCATCGAAGCAGCAGCAGAAGCAGCCCCAGCTACCACACCAGCTTCTCCAACAATTTCAACGAAGCCCTGTTCCTCGCACACTCACCTCCAGACTCCTACACACATGTCTAAAAGACTTTACATTGTACATCAAATGCAGGACTGGACAAATGTACTGGAATCGGAAAAGAAAGCCTTATGAAAACAAGTATTTTTAAACCAAAACAGTCATTGTCAGTCAGATTTTTAAAGTTTTTTTTTGTGTTTTTCCTTTCCTTCCTTTTTACTTTAAGTTCTCTCCAATCATTTCCTTCTGAGAAGGACTTGATTACTATAACCACTGGAGTTTGAAAAAAACATTCTGAATTTCATGCACTTTAAAGGTATTAACACTAATATTTTCTGATTTGTACATCTTATGTGTTTATGTACTGTGCTATGCATTTATTGTATGTCTTTTGTGTTTCTTAATCTAACTTGTTTATCGATATTATTAAGAATTGGTGAATTTCACAACGCTAAACTGTATCAAACATCATTACCAATACTGAACTCAGTTTTTGTAGCTCTAACATAACTTGGATGGTTGGGTGTGTAGTAGTAGTAGTTTTAGACTGATTTGGGGTAAATATGCATTTAATTTTTTTCAGATGCCTTTTATATGACTTTAAATATGTATGTTTACATAAAAGAAAATACATGTTTAAATTAATTGAATAACTGTGTTTGGCTCATTCTTGCTTCGCTTCCGCCTTCTCTTCTCCACCCTGAACGTCAATTCGCAGCACCTCCGGCCCAGCAGGGGCCGCTGCCGCCGCTCAGCGCTCCTCGGTCGGACAGTGACAGGAGCTCAGCTGCTGCGGAACCGGAGGAACGTGCAGTGGCTCCGGGCTCCAGACACACGAAACATGCTGCGAGTTACAGTCCGGGCTGACATGGGCTCCCTGTGGGTGTTGTTCTGCATCATCTACTCCCAGTGCTGGACCGCGTCCTCGGATGTCATCGTCGTGGCCTGCGGCGGCTTCGTGAAGTCCGACGTTGAAATCAACTATTCTCTGATCGAGGTGAGAGTGCAACCGTCCCGGCTAGCAGCGAGCTAACAGCTAGCGGTTTATCGTAGCGAGCTAAAGGTTAGGTGCAGGCTGACGGTTCAACTTGAATGAATGACACTTTGGACAAAATAACCACGAAGCCACCACATGTGAACTCGTTTAGCTTCTTGCAGCTGAGAAACAAACATTAATGTTGCTATACGACATTTAGCTTCTTGCCTTTTTAGCTAATTTGAGTGTTTTCTCAAGACCCCCATGTTAATCAGTCGTCAACATTAGTGTCTCACATGGCTGCTCGCCCTTCTTAAGCCTGTCAGTGTGGGTGAGGGAGACGTTAAGTGCTGGTCATCAGTCCTAATCCCTGCTCATTCACAGACTCCCACTGATTCGCCGTTCGGTGTAATTAGTGGAATGAGCTAAATCCCAGAAACCCTGCTCTCCATGACGATGATAGCTGATACCAGATAAACAACCAGTGTGCCCATTTAACTTATAGTAAAGTTTGTGACTGGTTTTACACGATTTATTTAATTACAGTATGATCATTGTGTGTCCTCTTCCACAGATTAAACTGTACACAAAACAAGGATCCTTGAAATATCAAACAGACTGTGCTCCCATCAACGGATACTTCATGATCCCACTCTACGACAAGGTACGGTAAACATTAGCTTGAGTATTTTCATACCTCGACCGATTCCTGATTTTAATCTCTGTCTCATTATTTTTATGCAGGGAGATTTTGTTTTGAAGATTGAACCTCCTTTTGGGTGGAGCTTTGGTAAGATGATCCTCACAATTCACACACTTTTAAGCTGCTTTCAGACCAGCTCTGAACTCTGGATAATCTGTGGACACCCGCTGGAGGGGCTGTGTGTGAGAATGCAAAACAAAAAAGAATACAAATATCTCCGGTTGAAAAAGCGTTGCCATACACGTATAGGACACAGGCGAAGATGTCAATAAAGTTTAAAGCGATCAGGGCCGGCGCTTGTGTTGTTATGCTGTAAACAAAAACAGGTGAATTCCGCAGCATAATATATATACGTTACACCTGTCTCCTGCCTGCTGCGCCACCTCTCACCTGTTCACTGGAGATGCATGTGAGGCAAACTCCAAAGAAAGTCCAGACCTAATTGTGCAAACATTCTCCAGAGTTCATGTCTGAAACTTACTTCAATAATGCCAGCTGTTGCTAGAGGTTGTTTGCATCATCTATGTACTCTTCCACATGTCTGTACTTGTCTGATTTTTAAATCTCACCAGAGCCTACCAGTGTCGATCTCCATGTGGATGGAGTAAGTGACATCTGCACCAAAGAGGAAGACATCAACTTTTTTTTCACCGGCTTTTCAGTCTTAGGAACGGTGAGATGTGTTTGGAGTTTCCTCCTCTGACTTGGAGACCCTTAAAAATAATCTGTACAAAAAGGGTGATACAATCTCAATTTCACTCATATATAAAAGTCTTGCAGCCTCATCCATAGCAAAAGTGCTCTAGTATGTGACAGGATCAGTCCCTCACAAATACATCAGCTTTTCATATCTTTCATTTCTTATTTAGATACAAAATAAAGTTGTTTTGATAGTGTATCTACCCTTCTACAAGCCTTTTCTTATCACTAAATATCTCTTACTATTGTGACACGTGTCTCCCTCTTAATGTGCTGTGTCTCGTTCAGGTGCTGAGTAAGGGCCATCTCCTGGGCCCGGCAGGAGTAGAGGTCAAACTGAGCCGAGAGGGAACAGCAGAGAAACTCCAGAGTGTTGTCACACAGCCTGGAGGAAAGTAAGTGATTTGCACCTTTCTGTTCAATGGATGGACACAAGCGTTTTAGCACTAAACACCTGACTTGAAATAGTATGAGGTTGTAAGACCTTTCTTTTGTTTTTGTCTCGCTAACACAGGTATACCTTCCTCAAAGTACTTCCTGGAAATTATGACATCACAGCTTCCCATCCCTCCTGGACTCTTGAGCAGGTTAGTATATTTATTTCAGGTATTGCCATTATGACTTAATTTTCTTAGTATGCGCTCTTATCATAAGGTTACTGGGGTGCTGCTGGATCAGTAAAAAATGTGTATTTTTTTTTACTTTCTTTATAACGTATATAACATGCCAATGAGAAAGGACATTCTTATGAGTAATGGGTAACCAGAGTGACAACCCAATAAAAACAACACAAACAAAACAAGAAATAAATAATTAAAGTAAAATTAAAACATCCCACTTAAACCCACCCTCAGTCCAGACCACCGCTCCTCATAAGATGTTCATGCTAAATGACTTTTAAGCTTCACTGATATCAGACTCCACATCTCTATTGTTGACTCACTTGCCTCATGTACATGGGCTGTTGATAGCTCCAAGTACACACACTCGATTGGAGAGGGAGTGGGGTGTCTTCCATTGCACTGCAATAAATGTTTTTGCTGCAGTGAGCCCAGCTAATAGCACTCGCTTTTGTTACCAGTATTAATCCCAACTCAGACAAGTCATTTAGTATAAGTATAATAGGTGAATGAGGGACGCCACACTCATACTTTTGTGTGTATAGGCCTCCCCCAGTGTGCAAACTCCTTTCTCTCTCCAACTCAAAAACTGGATAGGATGGCCATCAATCAACAGCTTGGAATTATTAAATATTGGAGCGCATGGTTTCATGCAAGGGGACAGTTAGACAATTTGACTGATTCTGACGACACTGAGTGATGGGCACACAGGATGCCATCTTTTGGCTTCTTGTCATTTACCAGAGCTATGAAAACCAAATTTGATCAATAGAGTCAATCTGTGGGGTGTCTGTAATCTGTAGTTCTAGCAAACGTTTACCAATTTAAATATATAGTTTTAGTCTTTGTTATAAAATTTCCAACAGGTGACACACAAGTGAAGTGAAGGTAACTTTCATTACTAATTTTTCATGGTTCAAGGTTGGTGTTCTTCCACCCCTTTAGTTTACAGTCATAACTCTTTATATTTTCAAACCAATAGCTACAGAGGCAGTAATCTGGTTAAAAAGTATGGAAATTGTTTTGGCTTTGCCTGTTTAATTTTGGTTTATAAAAGGGAATATTGGGCTTTTTTATGGTGAGAAAACTTTGGAGCCAACTGAACTGATTCTGTGTATTTTAAAAGGTATGAGGTAAGAGAATAAGGGAATATTAAGATATTAACTTTTATATCCACTGGGGTTTCCCCAATTAGAAATTAATCAGAGCCAGAATCCTGTTGTCATTAGTCATACACAGAAAAAAATGTAGAGGATACAAATTAAACTTATATCAACTACCTCATTATGATTATTTCAGCTGAGATTAGTAAAATCAGACCTGTGTGTGTGAAACATAATTTTCACCCTCAGTCTTACATAACACTCTGCTGGCTGCCAAAATACCACAGTCTCTATCTGAGCAGATTCAGTGCTGTAGAGAATGCACAATTTCAGAAGTCTTTTGAATTTGGCATCACCTCAGTAAAGAAAAAATCATTATCCACCCACTCGCTCACCTGAAAAGGTTCCCTGTCAGGTTAGCAGGTTTTAAAACTAATAATCTAATGTACTCCTGCAGTAATTAACTTGCTCATGACCATGTCATTATTCTGACCTTTTGCTGTAACATACGCGGTGACCTCTGCCATCCTCCGATAGAGCACAACCTCGGTGCACGTCTCCAGTACCAATGCCCCGGCTGCCGACCATCTGGTGGTTGGAGGCTACGACGTCTCTGGGGAGGTCCGCAGTGATGGAGAGCCCATGAAAGAGGTCACCTTCCTGCTGTACTCGGCCACAGTCAGGAGAGAGGTAAAAGCATTAATTGAGAAACTGAGGATGTGAATGAGATCAAGTCGTCATACTGCTTCTCTAATTTGACATTTATTGTTTTCATCTCTACTGCTCTTTGTCTTTCTCTACTATCATATAATCTAGTTGTTTTTCCAAAGTCAGGATTTTATTTTCAGGAGAATATCAAAGTGTAATGATTTTGATGTTTTGTTTTTAACTTTAGAGAATACCATTTTAGTTTAGATAATAATGTTATGTATGATAAGTGGTGATGGACTGAGTGGATTGTGTTTTGTGATTTGAAGGATGTTAGTGGCTGTAACATGTCCCCAGTTGAGGGGGCAGATTCTGGGGACAGCTCCCTGGTCTACCTGTGCAGTGCTCTGTCCAGAGAAGATGGCACCTTCATCTTTCCCTCTCTGGCCAGTGGAGAGTACACTGTGGTGAGTTTTTTTTAATGAGATAAAAGGAACCTGGCAGACATGCAGGAATTACGTCCTGTGACTACATGCAGGAATTACGTCCTGTGACTCTCTGAAGCTTTGGTAGGCCTCTGTTTGCGCCTTCTACAGTTCACTTGAATTTACCACATATGCATGTTGGAGGTTGGTTCTACATCATTCTGTAAAGTTTATGTGCAGAATGTTGGTGGGCCGTTCAGCTGGGAAACGTCAGATCTCGCAACTACCACTAAAATCTAGTCTTAAGAGAAAGTACCTCTTAATGTAAAACTGCAGAAAAACCTGACTCATGATCCCCCCAGTAGTAGAGCTGTCAATCATCCTCTAGAATCCCATTCAAATTTATAAATATATATAGATATTATACATTATACATAATTATACATAGTTTTATACACTTAAGTCTATTATTACTTTATTTTAATTTTTTGGGAATTATATTTACTATACTACCAAATACTTAATTCCACACACCAATAAATATTAGTTTTTTTCACTAATATTCATGGATTATTCTTTTAGTAATCAAGGAATATATAAAATGTCCTATCTAACTGAAAACCCTTCTTGAAACCCTCTGATCCTGATCCACTCCAAAGTTTAATGGATTCTCCATATCACATCCTTCTGCTCAGTAACTTTTGTTAAATCCTGCTAACAAAGAAGCAGACATGGGTGAAAGCATAACCTCAGTGGCAGAGGTAAAAATGTATTTGATTTCATGAAACTTCATCCTGCGCACTGCATTGAGAATGTCTCTGTCTCTCAAACTTAAGCACATTTAAATATTTTTCTCTCTAATTCTGCTTTTGTGAACTTCTTCACTTCAGGTTCCATTCTACAGAGGAGAAAGAATTACATTTGATGTTGCACCATCCAGGATGAATTTCAAGGTTGAGCACAACAGCTTGAAGCTCGAGGTGAAGCATAACATTATCTCTATTTATCATTTTTTGTTTTAACATTTAAACGGTGAGATTTAATATGAGGTGTGTTTACTGCACTTTGACATGCTGTCTCTGTTGCTCCTCATAAAGCCCATCTTCCGAGTCATGGGCTTCTCTGTGACAGGCCGAGTTCTCAACAGTATCGAAGGGGAGGGTGTAACAGACGCTACAGTGTCCCTCAACAACCACATCAGAGGTAACAGTACAACAAGACCCCTCACTAAAAAAATCAACAAATGAACAACTTTAAAAAAGTGCATTAGGTGTTTTTAAGTGTTAACACATTTTCACACTTGCTTGCTTTTGTCCTCGCAGTCATCAGCAAGGAGGATGGTTCTTTCCGGCTGGAGAACATGACAGCTGGTACCTACACCATTCGTGTAAACAAGGAGCTGATGTTCTTTGAGCCAATCACAGTGAAGATTGCCCCTAACACACCTCAACTCCCTGACATCATCACAGCAGGGTATTTAATTTTATTAGAATATCAAATTACATATTGTGAAATGAATTACAGAAATGTAGCTTCAGTGCTCTCCGTTGCCACATTGCTAAACAAGCCTTTTTTTATTCTGATGTTGTTCAGGTTCAGTGTGTGTGGCCAGATCTCCATCAGCCGCCTGCCTGAGGGCATGAAGCAGCAGGGTCGCTACAAGGTCACCCTGACACACCAGGGCCAGGACAAGACGTCCGGCCGGACCATCGAGTCTGACCCTCAGGGGGCTTTCTGCTTTCAGGCCAAACCCGGAGACTACAGCGTCCATGTAAGACTCCAATACCAGCTACAGTTAACAGTAATGATTGTTCTCGAGATTCTAGGATGACATTCTCTGAATTAAAACCTGAAGTCTTAATATATCATTTCAAATTTAGTCTTTGTACATTCAGAAATGCTCTCTAATAATTTAAATAATATGCTATATGGTTTAAAGGCTGAACTTGATAGCGATGTAACTGATTCCAGTGTGTATGTAGTAGTATAAAAAACACTTTGCTTTCTACAATATAACCTTGCCTTGACTTCCATGGGTTAAGGTATCTCTCCCTGAGGCGGAGGTGAAAGCAGGTCTGGCTCTGCAGCCTCAGGCCCTGGAAGTCTCCCTCGTGGACCGGCCCCTCACTGACCTCCTCTTCACCCAATTCATGGCTTCCGTCTCTGGGAAGGTCTACTGTCTAGGTAAGGGCATAGTTACTTATTGCCTGTATTAAAAAAACATGTAGTAGTATAAGATGTGGGATTTGACTCAGCTTCAGACCACAAGAATATTGAATCTATGGTTTTGTTTTTACACAAGCTAACCGTATGTCTTCTTGTTGACCTCTAGCGTCCTGTGATGACCTCTCAGTAACCCTGCAACCAGTGAGTCGTCAGGGAGAGAGAAGGGCAGTGGCTCTGTCTGGCAACAATGACATCCTCAGCTTCTCATTCGACAACGTTCTGCCTGGGAAATACAAAGGTCAGGACTCCCCTAATACTTTTCATTGCTACACCTGTGTGATACAGTCAGTATGTGACTATACGTCATGTGAGTAAAAAAACATGTCCCGGCTGCGAAGAGTTCATACATCAGACACCAAATCCCACCATTCCTTACCGATCTATCCCTTTGTTTCTCAGCACGTTGAATTAGTTAGCTCCCATAGAGATGTTACAACTTGGTAATAGACAATTAATGCAGCACAATGAAGCTGTATCTTCACATCGTAAATCAAACCACCAACAAACAACCCCACAAGGTGGATCTCTTCTGAGATGGTTAGTAGGTGATGGTTGTTATTTGTTTGCTTGTCACAGACCTGTTTAGGTTTAACTATACCTGTGATTGCTTTCAGAGATGGAAACAGATGTTTACTCGTGCTACAACTCGTGCTACAACTTTGTAACCTGCTAGTGCTATGTGCAAAGCAGTAATATCTAGGACTAAGTAGAGCCATTACAAATCAGAGATTAGTAGTAGTAAGCATGCCTTTTTACCTGTTGTAGAAGAGCCTCATCATTTATGTGGAGCTGGAATGCGAAGTCAGCACACAGGTTTGGAAGAAGTCAGAGCAAGCAGAGTAAATAAACTGATTCCTCCACCGTTTCAGAATCCATGAAGAAATCACAGTAATTATTCTCTTAACGACTGTGGGGAAATCAATTAGTAATTACCGTCCTTCGATCATAATTGTGTTTTTGGCAGCAGCTATTTGGAAGCGCACATTATTCAGCTGTTGTTTCTGCACCTTATTGTGCCGCATCTATCTCCCTCATTGTTCAATACGCACAATCTATGTGTGTGACTAGTTATCTGCACACACAGCATTTTTGGGGCATGTTTACTCAGCTTGTTGTGTTGTCAGGCCAGAGTTGTGCAAGAAGTTTACTTCCTTGAGCATTTGTTTCCATGAATTAATTAGGATCCTCCTGAGAAAGACTCAACTTCAAGTGATAGGGGCAGCTTAGATTTGAGCTTTTTTGTTACTTTTACTTGATGTATATTTTCTCCTCTCCTCTCAGTGAGTATTTCTCATGAGGAATGGTGCTGGAAACACAAGTCCATTGAAGTGGAGATTCTGGATTCTGACGTCTTGGGGGTTGAGTTCAGGCAGATTGGCTACATCCTGCGCTGCTCCCTCTCCCATGCCATCACTTTGGTTAGTAATCAGTAACTTGACCACAGAAGCAGAGTGTGTATGATATTATTAAGATTCTAACTAAGTGTTTTTCTGCACAGGAGTTCTTCCAAGATGGCAGCAAACCTGAGAATGTCGGCATGTACAACCTTTCTAAGGGCGTGAACCGCTTCTGTCTCTCCAAGCCCGGTGAGGTTCACTCTCCTCACCTCTCATTAGTTAAACATAGTGTGAATTAGCATATTGAGAAAAGAAAACATCAGTGTACCAACTGTTCCCCTGAGTATAGTTAGAGCACAGTGCTTTGAGCCAAAAGGTCTGTGTCAGACTTACCTAAATATAAAACTGGAGCAAAGTAATTAATCAACTAAAAATGGTTTGTGCAGGTGTTTACAAAGTCACCCCTCGCTCCTGCCATCAGTTTGAGCAGGACTTCTACACCTATGATACGTAAGTAACCACGTGCTCTGTCCATTTATTTCTGGGTTAAAGGAGTCATCGTCCCTTCACACATTTATGTATAGCAATGAATGTTGACCTGTGTCTAACAGCTCGGCTCCCAGCATCCTGACCCTCACTGCAGTGAGGCATCACATGACCGGGCTCATCACCACTGACAAGATCCTGGATGTCACAGTGACCATCAAGTGAGACTCATCATGGCTGCGCTCACTCTTCTCTGACATTCACTAACATTCACTGCTGAGCATTAATCTAAGTGACTGGCTTAAATGTTGTTGTTTTTGTGTTTTTAAAAAAAATCTGCCCTCTGTCAGGTCGTCCATCGAGAGCGAGCCGGCACTGGTCCTGGGTCCTTTGCGGAGCCAGGAGGAGCTGCGGCAGGAGCAGCAGCTGCAAGAGATTCAGCTCCGCCGCCAGGAGCGGGAGCGGCGTGCCGCCGAAGAGGAGGGAGGAGCGAGGGATGACAGCCCGCCAATCCAAGAGAAGGCAGATGAGCTAACAGGCCCATTCCACTATGATTTTTCCTACTGGGCCAGGTCAGTTACTCAGTGATTTCACTGCAGTTTATCATCTGTACTCTTATCGAAATAACAAGGTTGAGCTCTGAAAGCCTTCAGTTCACTCTAGAATGAACCTCCTGCATAGACTAGTGCACAGTGACTTGTGAAGTGTATGATCCCATAATTTTGGTAGCACCTTTTCCCCATTAAAGCTGCTTTCAGACATGCACTGAACTCTGGAGATCCTTCATACATTCTCAAAAGGAGGTATATGTATGAACACAAATGTCCGAGGGAGATTCCCTGGAGTTTCTCTGGACTTTCTCTGCCGGGCCCCCCAGTAAACTGTCTGCAGAATGTTCCTAGGAGCTGATGTGAGAACACAGCAGGAGATCCTAGTAGAATTCACTGCAAGTGAGTCAGGGGTTTATGACACTTCTAACACGCAACAGATGCAAAGCTTAAAAAGAACCTAGCTGAAAAAGCAGTGCCACACATGAAGGAGATACTGACTCCTTCTCAACACCCTTCACCTGAATCCTCTGGAGGATTTGTTACTGTTGTGATTGTGTCTGAGCAGAGAATCTCCTGCTGCATTGGTCATAGGTGAATGGAAACCTCTGGAGAAAGTCTGCTCCTAATTCTCCAGAGTTCCTATGGAGGGTCATACCTGAACAACTTGAATTTCTCATACAGAGTTTTTTGTTTGAATGATACCTGCAATGTTCCTGATCACAGAAAATCTGAGTTCTTACTGATAATGTAAGAATCGCATTCGTTTTAGCATAATCAGTTTTAATCCTTGTAACGTAATTTGTGGGTAATCATTACTTTTCCATTTTCAGTTTTTCACGTTGTTGATAGTACACCAAGTCTGAGATGCTCATTCAGTCTTGAATCAATGTAATGATACAGTGAGTTAATATTGACTGTACATGACTGTGCAGGGCAGGAGAGAAGATCACTGTGACTCCCTCCTCCAAAGAACTGCTGTTCTACCCACCTGAGGTAGAGGCCACTATCACCGGAGGTAAAGTCCTTCACACACATTGTTAAATTCTAACAAATCTATTGTGTTTGTCTGTTCACTTGTTTTCACTGGAGCAGCTTTTTATGTCTTTACTTGTTATAGTAATAATATTTGATCTCTACCATCATTGGTCACCCCACAAAGAGGAGAAAAATCTACTGAAACCATTAAATCCGTGATATTCTGTATCATGAAAAACAAACAACCTGAGGACTCATTACACTCTCTTCTCTGACAGAGTCCTGTCCAGGCCGGCTGGTGGACATCGCAGGACGTGCAGGTCTGTTCCTGGAGGGCAAAGTCTCACCAGAGCTTCAGGGTGTTGAGATCTCCATCACTGAAAAAGGAGCCTCTGCTCCTCTCATTACTGTGGCCACTAACGAGATGGGATCATACAGGTAAGAGAACGTAGTCCTTTAAATAAGAGATAGTGTGTAAAGCTACTGGGTTGCTGCCTTTATCTGACAGTAATGGCTATCTTTGAGTTCTGCTATGAGTGAAAGTGCTTAGCAGGTCATTATACACTAAACGGTGAATCCATTAATACATTAGGGCCAGAGACACAGCAGTGACGTGTGGGCTCTAGTTAAAACTCTGGTCCTAAAATAATTTGCTGTTCAGGCCCAGAGAGTTGAGATGGGTTTTAAATGGCTCTGTTAAAGGAGGTCAGCCAAAGAGATAATTAAATCTCAGTTTGTGCCAGAGACACCAACAGGATCTTGCAGCCTGGTTAAAAAGAGCCTGATGCTAAACACTGGAACACAAAAGTGAAGAGGCTGAGAACTGCATCATGGAATGTTATAAGCTTTACATCTCCTCTGATTATTACGGCTTCTACTGTTGTTCTGATGCATTTAGCCAAAGGAATCAGATGCAATACAACATGTCAATGAATGATAAATATTGGAAATACGGCTGTGTTTGGGATGCATGGCAGTGCAGTGACTGTTTATCCAGTGTAAACATATTATATAGAATATTCTACTGCCATTGTTTCTATGAAAAATCCCATAATTCACTCAGCACTGTAAAATCATTCTAACCCATAAGGCAACAGGATTAAGATAAATATGTTCTTTGACCTCCAGCTGTTCATAACGTTCCAGACAATTTGTTGTAAATGTGAGCTGAATGTAATGGATGCAGTACCAAATCAAATTAATACAAACAATTGTTTGGCGTTAGAAAAGGCCGGAAAACAAACCTTGCCTGACTTTTGATTTTTTGCCAACAATTATTCACTGTAAACTAAATAAGAGGGCTTCCTGGAATACTGTTATGTGCAGCATAACACCATTTTATTTCCATTTTACTACCCATTACATTTTTATGAGGAGCCAGGATTTTTTTTTTTTTCACTGTTTAACATTGTGAGACAGGGTGTTTTCACCAATTTCCCAGGGAATTATGTGTGGGTCTTGATGAAACAAATCAGGCACACTGACAGAACTGTTTTCTATGAGTGTGTTATTTGGTGCGACTTGATTACATTTAAGGGGACTGCTGGGCCTTGGCAGAGACATGTGCTCTACTCGGTGCCATTCTAGTTTAAAAAATATGATTTACTTATCACTAAAAAATTTCAGCAACCAATGTTTATGAATAACAATGAGAAAAAAAAGACAAGTTTATTGGCCAATGATGCTGCTTATTCATGATGAATCATCTTCAATGTTGATAAAAAGCAGATGCACTTCCCTTCACCAGTTGTCATCTGTTACAGTGACTTCAGAAAATCAGAAAGAGTTTTAAAATTTTAATTATCTGTCATGATTACATGCATTTCTTTCTTTATGGGCTAATATAGAGCTCATCCAACTTCAACTTTATTCATAGACATGTAGCTATAACCACTATATTCTCCTGTCTCTGCTCCAGTGTGGGTCCACTTCACAGTGACCGACAGTACGACATTAGTGCCAACAAGGAGGGATTCGTCCTGAGTCCTGTGGAGGGAACCCAGGGAGATTTCAAGGCATTCGCTCTGGCTGGTGTCACCTTCAAGGTACATGTGACCACACTCCTCACTCACATACAGTATGTATCGCATCCCAGCAATCACCAGCCACTTTTACACCCACATTAGTTAGCTGACACTTTCACCTTCACCATCTTTACAATTAAAGCTCTTTGTTCCCATTTACTGCTCTCTCTGATAATTTGGTTTGAAGCGAATGTGGAATGACATGACGAAAAGCCCCTGTTAGTTCACGCTGAATGTTTTCATAAAATATAATTAGGAGAAAATACCACTGATGATAGTTGAATCAGTTTCTGCTTTGCTGTGTGCTGTCAGTGCCTCGCCTTTGTACTGCCTTTGTTAAAAGGGTCCGCAATTATCTGCAGCGACCATGAGAACCTGGCACAAATGATCAGTGTCTGTTTCCCTTTCAGACTCTGTGTCACAAACTGCTTTGAACTCGTCTGTGCAGCATTTATAAAGAGTTGTGTGTCCTTGTTTATCCTTCTTTTGTAAGTCCTCTCTGAAATACAACATCACAGTCACTAAACTCACCTGTCAGCCTGATTATGCCCACGACTGTACAATCTGCCTCTCGCACTTTAGCCATGGCTGCGTTATTTCATGATTTTCAAGATTTGTCTGTGCGAGTTTGGCTTCATTTAATCTGAATTACCATATTATTCATGTGAATTTGCAGCATCTGTAGGTAAGGGATGAGATTTGGGGTCCGAAAACCAGTTTCACGTTTGGGCAGGCTTTGGTTGCTGGCAGGTGAACAGCCTGTGTGGAGAGCAAAAGAGCTTAGCCAAAAGAGCTTAGCCAAAAGAGATTAGCCAAAATGTTGTCTGGACCTAAAACACCTGAAAAAGTATAAATTTTTGTGTTTTGCTTTGAGAAACGTTCAACTCATGGATAAAAGAAACTAAACTGCAGCGTTTCCCTCAGAGTGAATTCAATGAATGACAGTAACGAGGAAGCATTTGCATGAAGGTTACTCTGGAACACAACAGATGCCGAGTGAAGGGTACACAGACTAAAGAGTGAAAGATGTTTTCTCCCATTTAAGAAAGAACTTCATTGCATGCCACAATTTCAGCTGAAAGTATGAGTTCTGCCTCTGTGTGGATGATGAAAACGTTATGTACATAGCACAAGCATGCGGCAAATAGCTCTGCCCACACTAAGGTATCTTAGCTTTTGAATGTTTTGTGAAAAATCGTTTTGTTCATTATCAAACTGTGGCAGGACGAATGAGAATATGGCGGGTCGCGACAGTCAAGATAATCAATGGGAAACTGAGTTGGACTGTCGGTGAATGGAAGAGAAATCCACTGTCTACACCAGAAGCCCTAAAATATTGGCCCCAAATGTTGCCCCCAGAGGCAAATTCAGATGATGGATGATTGGTGGATAGATAGTCAAGTCAAGTATTTGTCAAATCATGATGCGATATGTAACATATTCTCTTCCACTTCTTTATTAGATCAGATCAGAGGATGGTCAGCCCCTCTCTGGGGTCCTTCTGTCTCTGAGTGGTGGACAGTTTCGTTCCAACCTTCTGACCCAGGACACTGGCCTGCTCACTTTCAATAACCTGGTAGGGATCCAGCAGTTTGTTCTTTTGCCTTCACCTTTGTACTTCTCTTTCTGTGGTGTAAAATCAGTCCACCAAGCTGTAAAGCTGAATGTAGAGATGTTTTGACCTGTGTTGTGCTCTAGCTGATGTGTATTTTGACATGCTCACTGCTCGTCTCCTCAGAGCCCTGGCCAGTACTACTTCAAACCCATGATGAAGGAGTTCCGCTTTGAGCCGGCATCTCAGATGATCACGGTGGAGGAAGGTCAAAACCTCAGCATCGATATAACTGGCATTAAGACTGCGTACAGGTATACAAATGTACCATAAATGGCTATTTCCTGATTAGTTGGGCTTTACCATCTTTATAGTAATATGCAGTTTTTTTAGGAAATCAACCTTAAAGGGATGGTGAAAGGATGGTGCCATGTTATCACATGATATCATGTAACTTAACAAAGAGCAGTACACAGTTAAAGGCTGAATCAAACCTGTAATTGGTGTGACTACTAAAGCAAAGAGCAATCATTTTGGAGAATTAGTAACACACATCAGTAATGTGCTTGATTAGAATATAAATGTCAATAGTGCCTAAAACGTCTACACTGTATTGTTTCTCACGTGCTAGCTGTTGCTTAATAAGATTTTTTCCTTTCCACGTGTCTTATCGTCGTCTTGCACCTTTGTCCTCAGCTGCTACGGAGCGGTGCAGTCTCTGAGTGGGGATGCAGAGCGGGACGTTGCCGTGGAGGCGCTGGGTCAGGGAGAGTGCAGCCTCTACAGCGAGGACACGGTGACTGATGAGGAGGGACGCTTCAGACTCAGGGGTCTGCTGGTAAGGACGCTTAAAACTGTTCAAATCTGATTTTCAAAGTAGAATGAACTGTATCACACTGGTCAGGTCACCCACCTGTGTCTGGTGAAAGAGGCTGAGGACTATTGAATAATTGGAGCTCTGTCATCCTTGGTCCATTTACTGTATCTTAATGTTTCTATGCAGCCGAGTTGCAAGTATCTGATTCAGCTCCGCGCTGAAGGCAACGACCACATCGAGAGGGCTCTACCTCAACACAGAGCCATAGAGGTAAGAATCAAATGATCGCATGCTTCCTGTGGTCCACACAGCTGTCCAGATGTGCAAACTGTCCTTCAGCTTTTAGAAAATTCAAGAAACTTTTTATAATTTGCTACAAATGTAATATAAGGAGGAATAATAAGAGCTAAACCGTAACTGGTCGTGTTGTACTGGACATCATGTTAAAGCATTATTCAACTAACAAGGCGACATTTTAATGATAAAGATATCTTAGTCAATTTTATGTTTGCTCAGTATTTAATATGATTTAGCAAAAATGTGATCAAAAGTTTGAAATCTCACATGGGATGAGTCAAAGGCAAATAAAAAAAGCTGCTCTTTGGATTATTTGTTTATTGTTTCTGTTTTTTATATAACTATGCCTTTAATAGTAGTAAACTGAATAAAAAAATGTTTTTAATCTTTCAAATTTGTATAAGATATTACTAATGATTATTGATTTGCTTTTTAGAGGCTTTCAATCATATTATTTATGAAATCATTTGTTTGCCTGGATGTCACAGAATCATATGTTCTGAGCACTTTAACAAAGTCTCATCTGTGTTGGCTTTAAAGGTCAGAGGTCATTCTTGACTTTGATTACGGTGAAAAGCTCCAGAACAGCCACTTCAATTCAGTTTTATTTGTATAGTGCCAAGTTGTACTATACATTATCTCAAGGCACTTTACAAGGAGGTCAAGACCTTATAATTATAGAGAACAGATCCCACAATGAGCAGCACTTTGGTGATTGTGAAAATAATTTACTGGAAGAAACCTCTAACAGAACCAATGCATCTTAATATGAGATTGTTTCCTAAGCTGATGTTTCCACAGTCAAGACTGAACTTTGAACCTCCACTTGAATATAAATATCAGATAACCAGCCCGAACAATAGCAAATTGTAAATTCCTTAGTCCTTTCCTTAATGTTTTGAACTACAGTAGCACAGTCATGGAAACTTAAGTAATTGAATTGTTAAAATGACTGTGGGAACCCTGTGATTATTTCTTATCAGCAGCCTTATCACATGGGTCCTTTTCTATAGGCAGAACAAAAGCAGCGATAATCCAGTCACAACTTTAAACCTCTCAGTTCATAATTTTAGTTTGTCTGAATAGTTCAGGCCCCTAATCTCTCCAGCAAGACTAGAAATGCCTTAATTCCACTTAAATCTCTGTTATTATCACACTGTGTGACTTATACAGGGCTTTATCCCAACATTGTTAGGAGTTCAAGGTTGTATCTGTACACTCAGCTCTCTGTGTTCACTCTCAGGTCGGCAGCAATGACATTGAAGGGGTGAACATCATCGCCTTCAGACAAATCAATCAGTTTGACCTCAGCGGGAACGTCATCACGTCACCTGAACATCTCCCAACGCTGTCGGTACGACTGATTCGTCTTATGTTATACGTATATTTTATAAATCTCTGCATCTTCCCTGCAGTGGTCACATGGTTGAACTTTTACTTACTTTCTCTTCTTTTGTCCGTGCAGGTGAAGCTGTATAAGAGTGACAATTTGGACAATCCGATCAACAGCGTCTCTTTGGGACAGTCACTCTTCTTCCACTTCCCTCCTCTGGACAGAGACGGAGAGGTAGCAGCTCGTAGTCATTAATCCAAAAGTCAGATTTTTCTAATCTACCCAGCACCACGTCGTGGTGGGTTACCCACAAAAGATGTTGTGGAACGGGAATAATATCTATGAATTCAGTACGGAGCTTTACAGGTGCAGGGGGGTTTGCATAAATGGCCCCTTGGAGGCCTGATTAATATCTAAATGCGCTTTATGTGTCACTAAATCTATCGATTGCTTTAGACTTAACTGTGACCCAGGACATGCCGCAGTTTGATCTAAAGTCGTCTCTCTCTGTCTCCTCCAGACCTATGTTCTGATGCTGTACTCCACGCTGTCCCGCTCCCAGTATGACTTCACGCTGCCCCAGGTCTCCTTCACCTCCACCGGATACCACAAGCACATCACGCTCACCTTCAACCCCACTGTAAGAAACAGATGCTTTTTCATAAGACCAAACTGAATTATATCTGCTGTTCTCTGCACAACAAAGAACAACGGGAGTCACGACGAGGAGAGAAACAGTATTGATTGGGTTGTTGTCTCATCTCTCATTGTGTTTATATATAAATGCCTCTGTGTGTTTTCCCACAGCGTAAAGTGCCTGACCAGGATGTTGCCCAAGGCTCCTACATAGCTCTGCCCCTCACTCTGCTGCTCCTGTTGGCAGGATACAACCATGAGAAGGTAAAAATCAGCTCCACCTGCTCCACAATGTGCATGGAGCTCTTTGTGACTCAACTATTGAATTTCTGATTCCATGTAGTTGGTATAAAATTCACTGGACTTTGGTGTTATTATGGCAAAACACTAAAATTCAGAATGAGATAGAGCATAATTTAGTTTCCATGTAATATATCAGTTCTTATTTATTCAGTCATTGAAATTATTCATTATTATTCAGGGATTTTTAAATTAGCTGCCTCTCTCTCGCAGGTGATCCCGCTCCTGCTACAGATCGTGAATCGTATTCAGGGAGTGAGGAGCATGAGCCAAGCCAGCGGGGACAGTGCTGCCCTGGATGAAGCCAAACGCCAGGCCAAGAGACAGAAAGCGCGGCGCACATGAGGACTCACTTCAGACCACACCTTTGTCTGCTAAATAACACGCCAGCTCCCATAATCCTCAGCAAACACCGGGTCAGCCGAGGTCCAACTCCCTCAGTAGCTGTGGCATATTATGGGCGCTAGTCAACTGTTTAGCTCGCAAAAGATGTGATTTGGCCCCAAGTGAAGCTCAACATAAACCACTCGACGCGCATTACCACACCTCATCAGCCAATCAGATTCACTGAACTGAAAGCTGACATTTTACAGGTTTTTGTTTTTTTTCCTTTTGAACCCTTTTTCCACAACACTCATTGTCTAAGAAGTTTTGAGAATATTTGTGATATAATATGAGCCATTTTTATACATTTGTAATTTATCTAGATCTGCTCAAATCTGTTGTGTTTTGAAAGCACTTGCTTTGGACATGTGTCCTAACATGGTTTAGGACTATCAGTCACTCTGGATAACCATGTGTCTCCCTTACCAGCATTAGGGGGACTTCTTTCTACACAAAGGAGATTTTCTCTAGAACACGACTGAAATTCGATTTGATCTAATCAGAACTACAAGTGATTTTTAAGTATTATGGTTTAAATTGATAAATCTGGGCTCAAATAAGGGTCATAAAGATTTTGAGCATTATTGTCAAAAATGTTTTCAAAGCTTGTTGTTGAATATCACCCTTATAACCCCGTTGGGGGAAAAACAGTGAAGTTAAGAATTTTCACAAGAAAATTTGAATTATTTAAAATTTTTGTGAAAAATTATAACTGATACATTTGCGAACAGGTTTAATTTAGACACTAAAAAACTAATCACAAAAGGTTCAACAGGCTGAAAAGGCTGATGTTCAACCTTAAGATTTTAGGGCCGGGTCACATACACAAATGTTTCAGTGGTAAACCTTCTGTTCACTTCCACTTCCCGAGGAGGTGATTAAAATATCCACTTCCTGAGGCGAATCAAATCTCGGTGTTGTTTCGCGTGGAGTTCAACTTTGTTCGCTGCGCAATTGCATGTATGTGACCAGGCCCTAAAAGTCATTTCACAAGCTTCAAAACCTTTTTGTCCCACATTTGAACCGTTGATTTGATCTTTAACTGCATTGACTTCTATAATGCCATCACCAACAAGTGACTGTATGACTGCTATCTGTGCGTGAAGGACGGCCAAAGATAGTCAGCCATATCTCTTCAATTTAAAACACCCACAGGTCACTGAAATGCACTCCATCCACTCCTGATGGTCATTTATAAGCTGCTCAGTGTGATGCAAGATTGACTTGTTTCTCTGTTGGCTCAGGAAGGTGACGGTGGATAAGATGCTGGAATTCTGGGTTTTGGGGGGTGGGGGGGTGGGGAGCTATGGGGGCTTACTGACTATTAATTTATTAACAGAAGTCTAATCAGATGTGAATGTCTTACAAAAGTGTGGTTGTTGTTTTTTAATGATATTCTGTCAGATGGAGTGTGTGATGGACAACATGGTAACTTAAAAACCCCACAGAAGTAAAAATGAGTGACAACATCTCAGCATCGTTCATGACCTTCAGTTAACCTCTGAGCGATAAAGCAGAGTCTTAACTTTCGTGAAGCTCATTGTCTCACCGCTCAGCTGTGGGATGCACTGTGAAAAACTGTGGAGCCCAATTATTTCCCTGCCTTCGAATCGTCCGCTCTGTGTTGTGCCGACACTCGCTGAAAGATGAAAAGGCCACCGACTATTTACTGAGTTTAAAGATATTCCAATTAGTCCACATTTAGGGGGAGTTAATTAGTTTGGTGGGGATGGGATGGGGAAGTGGGGTGTGATTGTCATTTGGTCAGAATTTTTTTTTTTTTTTGAGATAATGAATAAAGTTTGACTTGAAGAAAAGTTGATAGTTTATTGGCTCCAGGGGGCAGTGTAATGCTAGACATTCATATTTTCATAAAGATTCCAGGAACTACAGATCTCCTCATTCTTAAAGAGTTAAAGAACATACTTTATACAGTGGTATTTCAATTAGGGATCAATAAACGTCCTTAACCTTCCTTCTCTTCAAGGAATCCTGACTAGGAACAGAAGCCACAACAACCCAGACGTTTGTGTTTGAAATAAATGCCTGACATTTTCACAAGTGATATTAATAAGGTCAACAATGGCTCCAGTGTATTGAACTCAGCTGTGTCTCTTCAAATAAGCATGATGCTCCACTAACATGACTTATTAGGACAAACTTTTAATGCCAGTAATTACACCTGCTTCTCTGTCTGCTGTGGAAAAGGAAAGGCAGTAAAATACTCACAGAAACATCCCAGACATGCCATTAACTCTTCATGTGTATAACTAATGGCTAATGTTAACCTGCAGACAGAGCAGATTTGCTCCCCACTTGTGTTTCCAGCTACCTCGGTAAAAGTTATACAAGTCTATTATTTTCAGACATTTGACCTGGTGTGGTACACAAGCTTCTGAGAACTGAATTGGTCTTTATTTCTGTGATTCTCTGTCCTTATTCTGAGCTACTGGAATCATGGACAATACAATTTAAACACTGTGCATTTTAACAAAGGCAGGAAAATGGAGCCACTTAGTTTTTGTTCAACTGCAACACCTCCCATGAGGCTGTGAAGGTGTGACAATGACTAAAGACCAATGAGGCAGGATGATATTGTTTACTACTGGTGGACACACGCTCGTGTGCGTGGGCCCAGTGAATCTTCATCAAGATACATTTATATAACAATTCATGTTGACAATGGTTATTATGAAATACAGTGTTTACACCACAAGCTGGTGTATTTACCTTTAGTGGAGTCTGTACAGCCTTGTTGAAACTAGAAAACTTCCCTTTGCTAAGAGCCCTTATGAAAACATTTTTAAATTCACCAGATCTGGATTTTTATTTGGATCTGCACCAAGTAGCACAAATTATTTTCTGAGAAATCAACGAAAATATTGAAAAAGTTCTCATCTCAGAATTTTAAAGCAACACTATGAAACGTTTTCATGTCAAAACAGCAGCTTCAAAATTAGTTTGATGGTACACTGACTTAGTATGTTTGTAAGTATGGAGCATTGTTCTGCTGTCATCCCCTAATGCTTGTTCTTGCTCCATGTAACTTCTGTGAGCAGAATCTCTTGTGTTAAACTGGCAGAATCTGATCCAGCACGTCCAAGAGTAATGCTGACCTGAGGATCAGTTAAAAAACACTTCAGTCATTAAAAACCATGTGTTCATATCTGATATTAAGTAAGAGAACTTTTAAACCATCACCACTTTTAACAGAGAAGCAGCAGCTCCTCAGCTTCAGAAGGCCGCTGATCATAATACCCACCATTCAGTTGTGTTTCAGTTCAGTGAGTGGGACGACGCAGTCATCAGATTAACTGGCTTCGTTTTTTCTTCACATGAAAACCATTCGGTCGCTCGGAGACAGTGCCCAACACAATTTATCACCAGAGGGCGCTGTTGCTCAATAAGTTACATAGTGTTGCTTTAAAGAATGTGAAAAATCATGAATTGGATTCTTCCCCTATACCGACACCACATCCTTCCACCGAGTTCCGTGGTAATCTGTCCAGTTGTTGCATAATCCTGCTAACACACTTGCAGATGAAAACCTAACCTGGCTGGGTGAAAAATTGCTGCTGATATTTTGAGTTGATTTTAGGAAACCACACAAAGATTTCTGAACCTTTAATTTAATCTTGATTTGACTCTTTTCTGCTCTTCTGCTGTTCATTGTTCTCACGTTGTCTCCTCTTTCCAGTTGAAGCTTTAAAAATTGAACTCTTGGCCCTTTGTGCTCATTATTTCTCACCTCTCCCCTCAGCACCGTTAGCATTCGCCTGTCTCCCCCGCCCCCCTGCACAGTTCGAGACAGTGCCGTCCTGCTGCATGTTCCTCATATGGATCATACACAGGAAGGGCTGCACCTCCATATACTCTTATCCACTCCGGGCTAAATGAGAGCCATTGTGTAAGAGCTAGCTATACTCGATGCACATCTTATTAATGGCAGCTGAGGCTGCTCCGCACTGTGCTCATCTGCTGGCATTTAGTCTGGATGAGATGCAGCCAATTAGTGTGAGCCACTCGGCTCAGCATCTGTCTGAAGCAAACAGCAGCACACCGGGTCAACAGCTCCGTCAAATCACCTCGTCGCTCAGCTTCAGAGCTCATGGCAGCCTGTAGACATGCATCACTGTTTTTCTTCACCTTATTTACATTTCTTGACAAAACTGATATTATTTTCTTTTGCATCCACTTTTCCCACAGGAATCATTATTGTACAGTTTGTTAATAAGCTACTATGGTTTTATGTGAACAGCTGTTTCACAACATGTATCACTGACTGCCTTTACTGATGCTTCGCACAGCAGCGGAGTAACTCCCAAATTGTATTCCAGGGACCCATCAGGATCCGTGAGGGATTAGAAGAGGTCCCCAACAAAATGTTGAATTGTGGAAGGTCTTTAAAACTAGTTGGTGTGAATAATAATCGTCTCTTGAGAAGCTTCTACACCTACATTAAACAGCAACATCAATATCATACACAGTATTTTAAATTGATTTTTGTTGTCTCACTATAACGTAGAACTCACATGTACCTGTTACATCAACTGATGCACAGTGCTGGAGCCAACGTCATAACAGCAACTAATCTAATTTTCTGTTGGACACACAACATTGCCGACTTTTGTTCTGAGGTGTTTCAGATTAATTTGGTTTTAATTGTTCATTTGAGGCCATTAAAGTGGTTTGAATCCTCATGATTCACAGCTGGGACTGACTTGTGATTGGTGGAGCACATGCATGACGGAACTTCAAGACCACATCTCCATCCTCCAATTGCTTTACTGCACAGACTCTTGTTGCGAATGTGAAAGACGTCACCGTTGGTATCCACGATATTTTGCTTTCATTTCTTGATGGCTGAAGGAAGTGGAGCGTCTTTCATCTTTAAATATAGTCTGTGATTTAAACATGATTTGTTGGCTACTGCCTGCACTGCCACTTGAAAATGGAGCTTGCTAACCTCAATTCAGTTCTCCATTGCATAAGGTCAGCCCATTCAAAGTGAATGAGTAGCATTTCTGTTGAAGCCTCCATCATGTTCATGTGCAAATGCGCATAAGTGAATTTATTCCGAGTTTCTTTAATGCAAATGATTTTGGGAAATCTTACCAATAATCTGTGACTGAGTCACGACGGGTTCTGCTGCTTTAGTGCGTCACCTAATATAACCCCTCTCCATTCATGTCACCCCAAACTCCAGAGGCATGCTGCCCGGCCTGAGTCACCCCTACCAGTCATAATGCATTGGCCAGGACACAAGTCATTGTGGAGCAGAGGAGGGAGGAGGCGGAGAGAGGTGCAGTGCACACGCCGTCTGCCGTGCATTAATAGCAGACGTTTGATGAGAAGGCTGGCAAGGGGGAGGGGAATTAAATATTCATTGGGGATGATGACAAGTTGGACCGCGGTGAGGATGATGTGTTAGAGTATCTACTGGCTGCTTTTTGTGGGAGCCGAAGTGTGTGTGTGTGTGTGTGTGTGTGTGTGTGTGTGTGTGTGTGTGTGTGTGGGGAAGCACAAACCAGACAGACTCTAAGTGCCAGTTTCTATCAGAACACGAGGTGTGTCATGTCAACCTTTTTATGAAACCTAATGCCTGCTTACTGTATCCTGGATGTGATGAAAGCTGAGGTGGCTGCGCCCCCACTAATGTAATCACAGAGAGCAAGAGTGCACATAAGACATTCAGAGTCTCATATCATTCATACTTTAAAAACACACTCTGAGTATAAGAACAGACCTCAGTCTCACCAGCGTCTATAACGGCAAGAATTCAAACGCAGTGTATTTCGAACAAATTGCTGCAATTATTAGTTAAACTATTAGACCTCGAGCAAACAATTAGCTAAACTGGCTCGAGTAACGCAATGTGACATGTCACTTCGCGTGTGGTGTGAACGCAGCATCAACTCCAACAAAATGTGGAGAGCCAGCACAAAGGGTTCAACTTTGGTGAACTCTGACAAGTTTTCAATGCTGATCAACTGCAAACAGTGTTGACACAGGCCTTGGAGGGGATCTGAACACAGCCCTCACTGAAGTATGGTTTTATATCAGCTGTGACGCACACAACTTATTTTATATAAACCTGCTTCACCTGTGGGCTGGATGAATATTTCCCCTGGTGTTAAATGTGTAAACATAACATGACGACATGTCTGTGAAAGTTGATCTGCAGTTCCCTTCACCTCATACGGAGCATTACAGTCTTTTTTCATTACTTTGGTTTTTCTGGCCCACGACTGGAATGTCTTGGTTCACTGTCAGCGCTCTCATCAGCATTGTTTCCAGTCACAGCACACAGCCTTTTTCATTAAAAAAAAATCTACAAAACAAATCTCAAACTTAGCCATCCATATTTATCATTCCTGCACATTGCTGCATTTCTTGGCACATTAAGGCCACCTGTAAAGTGAAGCTCTGTGCATGAGACTAAACCAAATGAGGAGCTGAAAACATTGCT